ATTCATGTACATATGTGCCTGTTTTTGAACTCTTTATCCTGCTTCACTGATCTATGATCATTCCTGCAAATGATTTCTAAGACTATGTCTTTGTAATATGTCTTCAGATGTGGTGAGGTGATGCCTCTCTGGGTTTATTTTTTGTTTTGCAAACTTGACTAAGTGAATTTTTTTTCCCATATAGATGTTAAAACAAGTTTGATGGTTCCTGAGAGGAAAAATAGGGACAAGTCTCATTGAAATTTAATTTGAATTGTGTTGAATAAATTGGTTTAAGGAGAATTAACATCTTTACAACATCAGAAACATGACAATGTGCCCTTTATTCAGATCTTCCTCCATCATGTCCTGTGTCTTAAAATTCCTTAAAGATCTTACGCATTGTTTAATATGAATAGTCATTGCCACTATAGCTTTACTATTTTCTGGTTTTATTGCTTAAAAAAAAAAAAAATTCCTTAACAGGATGAAAAAAAAATAACAAGCTCTCCACAAGCCCTGAGGCCAGAATGTCTCATCTCAACTGATAACAGACTCTCTTACCCCTCTTACCACACTAACTGCTACCACACAGGGCTGAGTGTACTCAGGGCAACCTTGAAACTAATGCCAGATGTAGAAACACCCCCTTTTTGCGTTTTGTTGATGCAGGGCAGAGAGGTAGGGGAGAGAATGAAGTATCAGGAAGCACTGCATTTGCTCTATTAAGAAATAACAGGATTTCAATATAATATCTTGAAAATTAAAATTACAACAAATTTCTTAGAACTTTGGTTTATCAGCATATGAATAGGGTCTTACACGAAGCAGGAATAACTGTCTACAACAGGCATCTCTGCCAACGATGGCCTCTGGGCCAGTTCACTGGCTGTGTTGTACAGCCCTCCAGCTAAGAAGAGTTTTAACATTGCTAAAAAATGATTTTTAACTTTTTTATAAAGTTGTTTTTTTAAAAGAGGCAAATCGCAAACAAACAAACCCCAAGAGAGAAAGTATCAGACCCTTCTCAGAAAGTTTGTCAACCCCTGGTTTACAAGAATCATGAACTCCCTTCCGTCCTGCCTCCATCAACCAAAACAAAATCTTAAAAAAAAAAATCCGCAAGACCAACCAGAAGCACAAGTGGAGAGCTGAATTCTCTAATAAAAGACCACCCTCCTCTCCTTGATCTTAGCAACTTTGAATCTGCATGACAGAAGATTCAAATTTTTGTAATAAATCAAAGTAATTAAATTATAGGTTGCACTGAAAAATTTAGTGGACCTTGAAAAAGTTAACTTGGCTGGCTGCTCTTCTTGAAGTTAGTTGAAAAATTAACAGTTTAATGTAAATAACCTTGCATTCACAGAACTTTAAAGGTAGAAGAAACTCTCATTTTACAGATGCCTACAGGAATTTGGGGAATGAAAGGTTCTATGGAAACAAAGAACATGAAATGTAAAAAAGAGTAATACTCTTAGAATTACTTAGTCATTTGGATCTCCATGTGAGGTAGGGAGAGCAATATTCCCAGCATAAGCATATACATTATCAAACCAGGACACTCAAAATAATTAAAGAGATGGATATAACTATATAACTTTGAAAACATGTATTTCTTGACTGCATATTTGCTTTATTATATTGATAGACCTATAAGATAGATTTACTCAAACTGTATTTCAAAAATATCTTTCAGATTGCACCATGAGAAACTTGAATACCAATCAAAAAAGTTTTAAAAATACTGCAATGACTTGAAGGTGGGTGTTGTCAAGCCAATGAGCTTTTACAATCCTACTGCAGCATCCAAAAGAAAAGTTCTTTAGACAGTGCAGTCAGGTATCATAAAACATTATATATTGCCATTAGGAATGCAAAACAATATAGATAGTATACATTTATAGAATAAACAGTATAAAGAGCCACTTATATTCATTCAACTGAGGTTTTCTTTTATGTTAAACTACATTAATTTGTCTCCATTACAGATTAGCCTGACATCCAAGAAAATAAAATCAAAAGAATATACATATATAACATAAAATAAGCTCATAACATAAAATTTCCCCTCTTAACCATTTTAAAATTAAGGAAGATTTTTTAAAGTGTGGTTTATTAGCCAAGAGTGGTGGCTCACACCTGTAATCCCAGCACTTTGGGAGGCCAAGGCAGGCAGAACACAAGGTCAAGGGTTTGAGATCAGCTGACCAACATGGTGAAACTCTGTCTCTACTAAAAATACAAAAATTAGCTGGGTGTGGTGGTGCACACCTGTAATCACACCTACTCAGGAGGCTGAGGCAGGAGAATGGCTTGAACCTGGGAGGTAGAAGTCGTAGTCAGCCGAGATTGTACCACTGCACTCCAGCCTGGGTGACAGAGCAGGACCCCATCTCTCAAAAAAAAAAAAAAAAAAAAAAGTGTGGTTTATTGTCTTATAAAGTAGAAATTTACTTAAGGATATATAAGATATAAGTTATATACGGGATATATATAATATATATGATATAAAAACATAAATAGGGTATACATAACATATGGATATCTATATCCTTAAGTAAATTTCTACTTTATAAGAAAATAAACTGCACTTTAAAAAATCTTCCTTAATTTTAAAATGGTTAAGATGGTAAATTTTATGTTATGTAGCTCTTACCACAACAAAAGTATAATAAGGCAATTTTAATATAAAAAGAGGATAAATAAAATAGGATATAATTAAATTCTCATTTATTTAAAAAGTAGTTGTTAATAATTTCAGGCTGTTTTGTTTTTTCTGAAGTATATTTTGTGTAAAAAGTATAGATACATATTTCTCTCTGTGAAATGAGGGAAGGGTATGCCTAGGGAACTGTAAGGCACAGTTATGTGAAAAGTAGGAATTGTATCAAGAACAGGGAAACTGATTAATCTTTATGATGACATAACCAAGAAAAAAGATAATGCATTACAAGAAGATGTATTAATCGAATGTCATCCAAAAAGAGAAAAGTTCAAAGATAAAAATATAATGCCAAGTTCCCAAGTTGATGTGACAGAATGGCAGGGCACCCACTGACAAACGACATGAATTTCAAGATGATCAGTCTCAGGGTGTCTACACTCCAGTGATGCCCCAGATCATTCAATTCCTGTAAGTGTTGAAAATTAATTACTTTTAAAAAGAGGGCTAGATGCAATGTGGTTTCCTGAATTGAATCCTAGAACAATGAAAGAATATTAGTGGAAAAGTGGTAAAATCTGAATATTGTTTAATTAACAGTGACTGTACCAATGTTAATTTCCTAGCTTTGACAAATACACCTTGCAAAATAAAATGTTAACATTAAGGAAAGCTGGGCAAAGGGTAGACAGGAACTTTCCTCACTATCTTTGCAAATTTTCTGTCAATCTAAAGTTATTTCCAAATTAAAAGTTTATTAAAAAGTGGGGAGAGAATTAAGTATCAACCTATGCACACAAAAACAGAGCACTTGGCTGTAGTGATGTTCTGATAACAGCAACAGAGGGGAATACAACAAGAGTCATTTCAAAAATAACCCAGGGAGAAGGAAGGAAGTCGTGACTGGGACAGTGGCTGAGTGGGCTTTTGTGTGCTACAGTCTTCTATTTCTTGACCTGGATTGGTGGTTGCACATATGAACTCATTTTAATTCACTGAACTGTACTTTTTGGTACATTACCCTTCAATTAAAAAAAATTAAAACATGTCCCTATTATAGATGAAGGTTAGAATCAAGAGAAGATATGGAAATAAGAATATAAATAGGGAAGAAAAAAAACCTATGCAGGGACAGATGTAACAGTTATTAAATCCTGAGTAAAATTTTGGAAAGGATCTTGGAAATTGCCAAATCCAGAAGTGGTCAGATTCTTTTATGAAAGTGGATCTGGAGATACTTATGCACTGCAAGTAGGCAGAGGCCAGACTTCAGTATTTTAGCAAAATTCCTCAGATGATTCTGATGCACACCTGGATTACAAACCACTGAACTACCCCAAGAAGGTTATGTGACCTTCCAGAGCTACAATCTTCCAGAAATGGCACAAGAACTCTATTACCAGATTCCTGGCCTTCTACTCTACCTACAGTTCAAAACCCTCAGCCAGGATTCCTGAGTTGTTATACCACTAGAGAGAAATATCTGTAAGTTCTATTCATTTTAATGCGTTTATGACAAAGATTTTTTTTTTCTATCACAGTGGCTTTTTTACTCTATAAGGCTCTTTTTTTCCAAAATATTTTTGATTTTACATTTCCAGGATAGCATTAATACATTTGTCATTTATTAAATAATGGCAAACCATAGCATCATAAAGTATTGAGACTGAAGGGCTCCTAACCTACCTATTCATTTTAAAGATGAAGAAACAAATGCCAGAGATAGTAGTAACTTGTCAGGAGTTTCCAGAATTCAATTCTCCTTTTTTAAGGTAAATAAGTTAGACTAGGTATCTTCCCCATGATTACTGTCTTGACGAGATGAACTAATATGCAATACGTGGTATCTTGCATTCTTTCATGTATAATTCAGTTTGTTATGATTTCTATGACTGTTTCTGTTTGAAACAATAATATTTATGTTATATATGTACATATGTTATAAATACATATTCTGATAGATGCATACAATATATAATAATCACATTAGGTTAAATGAGATATCCATCACCTCTAGAATTTATTTTTTGTATTACAATCAATTCAATTCTACAGTATTAGTTATTTTAAAATGTACAATTAAATCGTTATTGACTACATGGTCATTTTTGTTATAATTAAAATTATATAGAATATAAATGAAATGTACATGTATCTGAATATTGAATAAATACTTTTTAAAATTTCTCATATTTTTTCTTTGAATATGTGGTATAAGAAAATTACGGATTGTGTTTGTTTGTTTGAGTATGAGTTTGTAACTATTTTCAGAATAAAAAATAAATATTGGAACAAAAAAATTGTTGCTGAGCAACAGTGTGATGGCAAGGGAACAGAAGACAACAAAAAAGCCTGATTGAACACTTAAATCAAGGTGCTTCTTACATGTGAGGATAAATCATAGTGAGTTAAGGGAAATTTAAGAATATTTTTTAAGAAATAACAATTTTAGGTAGGCAATTGTGAGGAAAATAACAATCATACAAGCCAAGGCCACGTGATTCTTCCACAAGCCCCAGGGTGAGAGATCAATGCCCTGGTTTGTCAAATGTTCTTCGCCAGTACATCTGAAATTCAACAGAAAAAGAATATAACTTCTAGCACCTGTCAGATTTTACTCAGTATATCCACTGTTCCTTAAAGGAGCCTAAAAGTTAGCCACGCCTTCAATAATTATCCCTTCAGATATCATAGCTAACAGTCATTGTGCACTTACAATTTTGCCAAACACTAATAAGCAACATGAACTTCATTTAGTTAATTCCTAAAACAGTCCAATGTGACAGACATTGTACACACTTAAAAGATGAGGAGACTAAGGTTTAAGGAACTTGACCAGGTTTACAGAGTCATACTTTGAATCACCAAGTTTTTAGCCTACTCAAATTCATTGGTTTCCAAATCTGTAATGCTGCTCTCTCCAAAGGGCAGAAACATTTATCAAATAATATTTCCCTTGTCCCTGATAGAGAAAACATCAGATTAAACAGATGACACCTCTGACCCTTACTACGATGATCAAAGCTCTTACAGTACTCCTTACCCTTACAAACAGCCATAAAAAACAACACAGGCTAAGAATTCCAAAACCAGGAAAAAAGGTATGCAAGGGCTTCCTGCACAAGTCACTTTCTGTCAGTTCTTACACCAAGACTGTGATGAGCATCATAGATACCCAGCTACAAGATATTCCCAGCAGACTCAGCTATTAGGTTAAAGCCATAAGTGGTAGCTAGAATAGAGTAGAGCAGGGTGAACTCCTGTCTGCAGGTTAGGAAAGCACCTGGTACTAAAAATACCTTGGACAGCCACAATTACTGCTTGATACCATTTTTGTGCAACTCTTGGGAATTCAGCAATTCCAAAAACATACAGAGCCTCTCTTTTACTATACAAGTAGCTTCTTCCTTTGTCTTCTGAGGATGAAGCCTCACCTTCCATTACCATGAAGCCCATGGTGGCTCCTGCTTATCTGGTCCCACTTTTCTCATCCATTTCATCCTGACCACCCCGATCAAGCCAAAAGATACAGGCAGAATAAAGAAAACCTCTGTATAGAGGATTTCCTATGAATAATTAAAAAGAATAATTTGTTCTGTTGTTAAGAATTATTTATATTCTACTTGAACATCTGGGAGATTTAGGATAATATCATTCTCTTTTCTCTCATTAATTTATGTATCAAAATCAAACCATTAGCAATCACAGAAAAGGAAAGTGTTACTAAATTCTTAAAACAATATTATCTAGTGTTATTAGACTCTGTTTTAACATTATGTAAAAACAGTGTTTCCTTTTCAACTTACTCAAGTGTTTCTTATTTTTTTAGGGGCTAAATCATTTCATAGGGAGTATTCCAAGTTAATTTAACAACAACAACACATGACTAAGCAGCCTTTGATTTCATGATGTCTTCAAAATGCATGAAACAGTAGAAGTGCCAGGATCTTGGCAGGAAAATGTTCACTTTCTTTGTGCTATCGCTGCCTATTTCATTCTTACCACTGTCCATGGGTTGGGCTCAGAGGTACCCATGAGCTCATGGACCCACAGATTTCATATAATCCATACAGTTCAGGGACCATAAGCCCTTGACTAAAATATCAAAGCACCTCACTTCCATCTGAAATGCTCTGAAACCTAAGAACTCAAACCCATAATCAAGACATCCAAAGGGTCTTTTAAAAGGCCCAAAACAAACAAGAAACAAACATAAGAAACCTTGCTGCACGTTAAAACAAGTCTTAGACTGCAGCAGAATATTAAGGATTTGTGCCACATGTTCTTGTACATTTGTGCACAACAACTCACTTTATGGATGAGAAAACACAGGCTCAGAGAAGTTCAGCACCCCAGAAGGACTCATGCAGATCTAAGCCCAGAGCAGTGGCTTTTCTACATCACACCATAACAGTAAGCAAACCCATATGACACTGAACACAAACTTACATGGCATATTCACAAGTACTGTTTGATGTTGTGTTGAGTCCTGGGCAGAAGTTTTGTCCCAAAAATTCATTATGTTGTAAAGCCTGTGACACAAGTGGGAGCCGGGCAAGGTAAACAGTTTTAAATTTCAAGACGTTTCCAAAGAGTTATCACAATCATACCTTCTGAGTTTAATCTTTATTGTTATTTCAGAAAACATACTCACAGTCTTTGTCTCACCAAAGCAACTAAAGTTATTTTCCCTGGCCATCAGGAAGCCTAGGGTTGGGATTTTGGCTTCCAATACAAAAGAAGTCAAGTATTTGGCCAAAGAGGGAGACCTCTAGCTATATTACACCATAGCTCCTTCCCTCTTCTCTCCCAATGTTATAACCCCAGAAACATTCTAATTAAAATGATACCGTGGTGCTCAATGAGTGTTGTTAATTTACAGTAACAGTTTTGTGTTCTTATTGTTTTCATTAAAAACAGTTGTAATTCTTGGAAGCTAGAAGCTTGGTTAAACACATAGTTTACTTTGGAGTCAATGAGCTTGCAAAAGCCAATATGACAATGCTTATTATCTGGTCTTTGTTCTTCTAATTTTCCTTTCATTATAAACTTCTCCCATCCGCTCATTTATTTCCTTATTGAACTGAAATGCAAAAATATGTTTTTCATCAAATAGCTAATCTTTCTCCTTTACTAGCAGGTATCTCCCTACTCTTCAGCCCTTTAAAGGATGACTGAGGAAAGTAGCAAACGACTCCCGGGCCTTGTGTTAACCAAGGCCAGTAGGGAATTCTCATTCCTTGCTTCTAAAAGGGAGTTTCTCGATGGGAGACTTTCATAGCTCATGGCCAAAAATGGAGAAACTTTATTTCCATTGTTCCTAGCTTGGGAACGCAGTCAAAAGACAGACAAGGAAGACTTACTGTAAACCCGTATCGAGGAATGCTGAAGTACTGAAGCCATGAGAGCCAAGATGCGATGGTTGTGAGATTTACCAACAAACCTGAAAAAATCTACAAAAAGCAAGTTTTATGAGTCAGGACTGCTTGAGTAATTTCATGCAGAATTCTAGAGAATACCCTCTTCAAGTCCCCACCACTTTCTAAGCATTTCTTTTAAAACCAACTCTTTCTTGAAGTTCATTCAACTAACTTTAAACACTCACTAAATTATTCTCCTCTGTGTGCACGCATCTCTGTATAGCTAAGGTTGTTTATGGTTTTAAAGGAGGAACAAAATATCGAATATATATTATGTATTCCATTTAATCGGAAGATCCTCAATTATCAAGACTATGTACTCAACTTTCTTTGTAACCGCACACGATGGAAGGTCAAGAAGCACTGACTATTCTAATGACACAACCACTATGTGTGCTCACCAATACACCTGGCTTTGGAAAAATCTATACCAGATCAATCCTGAGCATCATATGCCTTCCGTACTTCAAACGATAAGATTTGCTATTTACAAAGTTTTGCAGTCTATATCCACATGACTTTTGCAAGGATGTGAGGTTTAGAATGCAGGCTTAAGATAACCCAAAGCCTAGAACTGATACAGAGCATAATGTGGCAAGAGGTAGAATACAAACAGGATCGATGCTATCATTTAAAGCTACCAAACCGCAATAGTGCAATGGAGATGCCAGGAAGACCTGCTGCAAATTGACAAGAGAACTAATTGCCGCCACCTCAAGCATACTGGTATATGCTAGGCTGATCATATATATTCAGACTTGACCTGACCCAGGTCTTAGTATATAACACAACATCTCTGAGTAAAATACAGTCTTATGACTATTTTTTAAACTTCTGTGTGGAAATCTTTAAACAATAAATCAAACAAAACCTTTGTATTTGTTGGATTATAGTATGGGAAAAATAAATAAGGCTTATCACTTCCTCATTAACGTTTACATTGGTAGTTTTCAAATCCAGAAATGGACAAATTAAACTCTGGCAAGAGTTTGTGCTAATTATTTTCATTTAAAGACATTTACTCTAGCAGATGGGACATGTTTCTGTGTATTTGATGCTGAAGGGGAAAAAATGTAACTGGTTTCATTCATCTGTTGATTTACCTATGTGCAAAATTTAGGGGCATGTAAGATTAAGATTAAGTAACCATTTAAAAAAAAGATAAGCAGAAACATATTGAATGTCAGGAATGAAACCCAGAAAGGAGGTACTTAGTAGTGTGGGAACTCTGGAATTTTCCAATATTTTTAAAACATTCCTTTTCCAAATACAAGAGGGAGCCAAGATAGACTACTCATATCATACACTGTTCTGATTCTTATAAGGCTTAATGTGTGCCTTGGAGAACAGTATTATAAACCCAACCAAACCATCTCTGCTGATGAGTAAACAAGCTACCAGTTCAATGCTATATGTGGAAACTTTAAAACAGAAATAAAAAATGTACAAAAACAAAGATAATAAGCCAGCAGTTCTCTATCACCAGCATGAAAGTCGGGCAAAGAATCTGTCATTCTCATGGCAATCTGCCAGTCAAATGTTTTCTGGTTTTTGAAATTCTAATTTATTTAGGTTTCATAATGTCACCAAGAAATACCTTTTAAAAGCTCATTAGTAACAACATATTAACTAAAATTACTGGAACTACATTAGAACAGTCACAAAAAAGGTTGGATAACGGCAGACAGAAGTTCATATATTCTCTAACATAAACTATTTCAGTAGGTGGCCTTAAAGCAGAGTTCCATTTACAGAATCCTTAAAACAGGTTTTATATGACAAGTGAATGTGCAGGAGGAAATAAAGGAAAAAACAATTCCTTCCTAGAGAAACACAGTTCAGACTCACCATCATAAACACAAAACAGATGGTCATGAGAAGTGTTGCTATGGAAACCACACTCTGACCTGCTGCTATGGCCAGCGCCATGGAACTGGCCGAATAAGCCACCATCATAAGGGTAAATACCATGATGAAGAAGGCATCTGCCTTTGGTTTCAATCCTTAGAAAGAAAAGAAGAAGTTAACCCAACTTTCTAGGTCCCCGTATGTTTGGGATTGCTTATTGTGCAAATTTAACACTACAATATTTTGAGAAATTAATATTAGAATGAAAAAAAGTCATCCACTCTCTAACCACCCTGGGTCTCCAATGTTGTTTCCTTCTATGTCACTGCATAAAGTTCTCATTGTTTCCCTTTTTATACCAACGACATAAGCACTGGTCCTTATAACACCTATGTGGCATTACGTATAATTATGAACAATTTCTGAGTTCCTATGAAGAGCTACAGGCAGTACAACTGGCCAAAATTTAACTGCCTTCTCTTTTCACAGGAAACTCATCAATTCATCAATCGCACATTCATTTGCCCATACATCCCCACAGTACTCATTGCGTGCTGTAACTGCGTGAGTGAAGAGACTAGGACGATTAGGATGGCATGACCTCGCCGTGGTTGTAATATCTGTGGGAGGAAGAGGGAACCTTCAAAACCCAAGCCTCCCTAGACAGATCACCACATCACTCTGGATTGAAACAGGACTAAATTAAGTTTCATAAACTGCTTTCTGAACTGTAGTGAGCTAATGCTACAGGTAATAAAATCTGAAGATTTGAAACAGCCACAAGAATACCTATCAGGAGTCTGGAGATCCAGATCCTATCCCTGATTGTTTAGAACACACCTATTATTTGTCAGATGGAAGGTTTAAGTTCAATTGGTAGTTCTTATCTTGTAGTACTGTCAAAAATAGATTATTTCTGGGGGTTGTGTGTGCATATGTGTATCAGTGAAATATATGGAAATCTGATGCAAGGAGCCTGGGCTGAAGCCTGAGCATGGTGCACAAATGAATCTCCACATCTCTCAAACAAGTATTTTTATTAAATTAATAAGCCCCAAAAGTCACCATCTTTCTCTCATTAAAGAAGCAGAGATGGGGAATATATATTAAATAAATTCATATCTCTAAGAGATTAAATATATATTTAATCATTCTATACATCTCTAAGTATGTATGTGTGTATGTGTATATATAACATGTAAATATAGATAGTATATATAAATATACATATATATAGAGAGAGACAGAGAGATAGACAATACATAACAGCTTTTCCATCATAGTCTCAAAGTTTTATAATTTCTTTCCATATTTGTGTATAACATAAGTATCTCTCAGTATAGTTTTATAAGTAGTTTTAAAAGTTTAGGCTGGGCATGTCAGCTCATTCCTGTAATCCCAGCACTTTGGGAGGCTGAGGTGGGAGGACTACTTGAGGCCAGGATTATAAGACCAGCCTGGGCAACACAGTGAGACCCCATCTATACTAAAACCCAATCTTTATGTGTGCCTGTAGTCCTAGCTACTCAGAGGCTGAGGTAGGAGGATCTCTGGAGCCCAGGTGGTTGAGGCTACAGTGGGACATGATCACCCTGCACTCCAGCCTGGGTGACAGAGCAAGACCCTGTCTCAAAAAAACGAAACAAAGCAAACTAATAAAAAAGTTCAATTGGGAAACAGTCTTGACAAAAATAGCTGAGAGCAAACAGCTATTTCAGAGAGAGCAAATAGACAGACAGATGCTTCTTATCTCATGGTTTGGCTTATAGTTTTGAAAGCCAAAAACATGCTTGCAAGGCACAATTGATTTCACCTCATAGGCAAGACTAAAGACATGTCCTTTGTTGTCTTGTTACTTACCTAACATGAAGTACACTATACAGGTAAATATAATACTTGGTAACGTCCTCATGGGTATTAAATCGGATAACAGTTTTCCAAAGAAATAAGATGACACTCTGTAGTATCCACTGATATATTCGTGTCTATAGAACAGAAATACACATCATACAATCCAGATTAGTTTAAATAGCCACAGGGCAGGCTAGACTGTCTGCTATAGACTTCTGCTGACAGCAGGGGTCAAACAAGCCAGCTTCCCACATCCTCAGGGCTAGACCCACCATGCATGCCCAGAACACCTCGGGTGCCAGCCTCACTGGGACAGCATCCTATGAAGCTCTGGGACAGCCCCTCTTCTCATGACACAACACCCTCCTATTGTTGCTCTTTCTAGCTCCTGAACACTCAGTCCAGGGAAACAGATTCCACACATCCTCCCTCTCTTCAAAGAATGCTTCTTTTCCTTCTTTGACGTTGGCTTTCCCTGAAGAACAGTAGCTGATTTTGGTAGGAAAAGAGGCTTTTATTTTCCCTATTTCTGATTAGGAAGGTGGCCTGTTATTCTCCAAGCACCACAGTGCAGCTTCAGATCACTAAACTCTTCTTACTTCTACTCTCAAGTTAAAAAAAAAAAAAGAAAAAGGCTACTTTTTTCAATGACCATGTCTTCCAGCCATACATCCCTGTCAACTGTCAAACTGTAATCTTTCCTCTTCCTGACATCTTTCTCCCACAATTCCAAACCCTTCCACCTCCTGCATTCTTTCCCTTTCTAATAATTCCTATACGTTATGTGTAAATTTGGGCAAATCGGATAGATCCTTGAAAAATACCCAGCCCGGGAAACAGAGAGAGACCTTGTCTCTACAAACATTAAAAAAATAAAATAAAATAGCCAAATGGCTGGGTGCAGTGGCTCACACCTCTAATCCCAGCACTTTGGGAGGCCAAGGGTGGGTGGATCACCTGAAGTCAGGAGTTTGAGACCCCAGCCTGGCCAACATGGCGAAAACCAATCTCTACCAAATATACAAAAAATTAGCTGAGTGTGGTGGCGGGCACCTATAATCTCAGCTACTTGGGAGGCTGAAGCAAGAGAATTGCTTGAACCTGAGAGATGGAGGAGGTTACAGTGAGCTGAGATTGCACCATTGCACTCCAGCCTGGCAACAGAGTGAGACTGTCTCAAAAAAAAAAAAAAAAAAAAAAAAGGCCAGGCATGCCAGTTACTTAGAAGGCTGAGGTGGGAAGACTGCAATAGCCCTGCAGGTCAAAGCTTCAATGAGCCATGATCTTGTCTCTGCACTCCAGCCTGGGCAACAAAACAAAACCCTATCTCAAAAAAAAAAAAAAAAAGAAAAAAAAAGAAAAGAAAAAAAAAAAGAAAAAGGGAAATAGAAGAAATTAAGCCAGGCTGTTCTTTACTACTGTAACAATGTCTTCCGGCTTGTGCCACTCCCCTGGTCCACTGAGGGCTAAGCATGGTCACATTCTTTGTCAATTTAATCTCCCCACTTCCAAGTTGCTGCTTAATCCCTAGCCCCTCAAACTTTCCTGGTGAAGGTCATCAGCATTTCCTAAAAACAAAAGATACTTTTCAGTACCTTTATTGCTTGCTCTTTGCAGCATTTGGATTTTCTGGCCATACCCAAATCTAGAAAAACTATTTTCTCTGGATACCAGGTCCCAAAGGCTCAGGATTTTCTTCCCCACCTCTGGCTCATTTTTCTCAGTTAATATTGGTAACCTCTATACCTATTTTCAAAACATCACGTTGTACATTATCGATATGTATGACTTTTATTCATCAATTAAAAAATACATTTTAAAAAGTACTGGTAATCCTTAGGACCCCATTCTTGGCCCCAATTCCAGATGTGATCAGTCTAACCAATAGCCCCTGCTGCTGGACAGCCCTGTTCCCAGAGCAAAGACCTACTCACATGAAGAGCTTCTTCTCTACCACAAAGAGTTCCACAGCCGACACGCTGCTGAAACACTGGTTAGTTGTCAGAAAGAAGAGAACCCCGGCTCTGCCATGAAAAGGGAACAAAAGCACCGCAGTCAACTCGGCATTCTTAGGTAGATTTTCTACCCACAACACTCTTTCCACAAATGATGGTATACAAAGTTAGGCAGGAAAAAATGGGAAACGGTTCCGGTTGAAACAGAGGGAAGCATGAACTCCACCAGGCCTCTCCCCTGGGACTACATATTAGAGCTCATTTTGAAATTCACAGTCTTGGATTGTTGTGAACTGAATTGCCTCTCCCCCCACCAAAATTCATATGTTGAAGCCCCACCCAGCAATGTGATGGTATTTGAAGATGGGCCCTTTGGGAGGTAATCAGGTTCAGATGAGGTCACAGGGGTGGGAGGTAGGGAGAGTGTAATAGAGTAGTGTCCTAATAAGAAGAGAAAGCAGAGCTCTTGCTCTGTCACATAAGGAACAGCAAGAAGGCAAGTATGCAAGCCAGGAAGAAGCCCTCACCAGAACCCAGCAATGCTGGCATCCTGATCTCAGACTTTCAGACTAGAACTGAGATAATTCTGCTGTTTAAGCCACTTGCTCTATGGTATTTTGGTATGGCAGCCAGGTCAACACATCATTTTAACTAACAAAAATACCAAGTACCATTCCTAATGTACAAACAGAGAAGTGGTAAGCTAAATATGATTTTTAAAGTTGAACAAAGAATGTAAGACATGTGGAAGCAAAATGAAAGACAGTGAAGGGAACCCTCAATCAACTCCTTACTATATGCATAATCTACATGCACCACACCACCATCAGCAGGGCCATGACATTATCCTCAACATGCTAAGACAGCCAGCCCTCTATGAGGTGTTCAGAGTGCTCAAAGGAAACCAAGTGATGTTACTGATTAAGAAAAATCTAATTTATGTATTGTAATGCAAAGAAACACTATTAATGCATATTTCTCAGTGAAGTAATCGAGATTTAAAAAGAAAAATGCTAAGTTAATCTACACTTTGATACAAATATGAATATTATGAAAGCATGCCAACATCCCTGAAACGCCATAACAAAACGATATAATTGATAGTGAGAGAGTGAGTTGAAACTGAAAACGAGGTAAGTGATACATCATTTAAACGACGTAAAAACAAAAGAACATCTTTTAAAACGTAAACATGAAAGAATAACACAATTACATCAAAAGAAAGAGTCCATAGATACCTAAAGAATAAAGATCTAAGGGAACAGGCTAGGGTTTTTTAGTTTGTTTTATTTTACTTTTAGAGACAGAGTCACACTCTGTCACCCAGGCTTTAGTATGATCATAAACTGTGATCATAAACTCATTCACTGCAGCTGAGTTGAATTCCTGGGCTCAAGTGATCCTCCCACCTTGGCCTCCTAAAGGGCTGCAGTTGCAAGTGTAAGGTACTGTGCCCAGCCAGAACAGTTTTAAAAGTATTTATATAGTAATTGAAATGAATGAAAAATATCCAGGCCTGGTAGACATGCAGTTATCTAACTTTCTATACAGAAATGAACCTTATATCAAGTTAAAAGCTAATTTCGGAACATGGAACATAGCAAAGAGTCAGTGCCATTTGTTGTCTTCCATCTATCTAACAGTATGGCAATGTTCATAATGATTCTGAAAAAGCAGACAATGAAAAGATTCCTTCTAAATCCTAAGATGATTTATTTTAAATACAGTTTTTTCTTATTAAGGAAGTTAATTCATTCTAATTTTTTCAAGGTGGTAATCCACATCTGTCATGTCTACTTACTGGTCCAAATACGTTTTATTTTGATTTTTTTAAATTAAAAATTGACACATTACAGTTGTATATATTTGTTGGGTACCAAGTGATATGATTTATAAATCAAAGTGTGAAATAATTAAATCAAGCTTGTTAACATATCCACTACCTTAAATACTTATTTTTTATGGTAAAAGTATTTTAAATTTTAGCAGTTCTGAAATTTGTGTTATTATTTGCCATGTTCACCACACTGTAAAATGTATCTCCAAAGAAAAGTCCTTATTTGTTCTGGGTAATTGAGGTTTCATACCCTTTGACCATCATCTCTCCATTCCCCACCAGCTCCTGGCAACCACCACTCTACTGTCTCTTTCAGTTTCATTTGTTTCAGATTCCACATTAAGTGAGATTATGTGACATTTCTGTGCTTAGCTTTCTGTATTTGGCTTATTTCACTTGGCATAATATTCTCCAATTACATCCATGTTATTACAAATGACAAAATTTCTTTCAGTTTCCATTGTGTATATATATCACATTTTCTTTAGCAAATCAGATACTTAGGCTGATTCCATATCTTGGCTATTGTGAACAACGCTGCTATAAATATGAGGGTGCAGAAATTTCTTCAACAAACAGATTTCACATCTTTGGGGTAAATACCTAGAAGTGAGATTACTGAATCTGAATACTATTTTTAAAGTCTATCTTTTCCCTTTATATACACTAATTTGTTTAGCTACCACCACAACTTGTAAAGCAGTTATTCCAGAGGTAGCTATTATAATTCAAAGATGCTCATAACTCTACATGTGATTAAAACCCAGTTTCTCAGTTACACAGGTAAGAGAGTGCTTGCCTCTCTGGGAAAATTCATCCCCAAAGAAGAGAACTAAACCACTGACCTCTGAGGAGTTTTAAATGATGAAGTACTAATATTCACCCCTGAACCTGCTTCCAGAGATGACACTGAAATACTTTTTCCTAGTCAGTAAATTACTAATCATCCCAAGAGGGATTAAGCCATATACACAGGCCAGTTTAACATAGTCCAACTGCTTTTATAAAAAATGATAGCAGAATCTGTGGGGGAAAGGGGGAGAAAGAACATCAGGAAAAATAGTTAATGCATGCTGGGCTAAACACCAAGGTGATAGATTGATAGGTTTAGCAAACCAACACAGCACACTTTTACCTATGTAACAAACCTGCACATCCTGCAGATGAACCGAACAACTTAAAAAAATGATAGCAAATTTAAGCAAAAATACAAATTATGAGCCCAGGAGTTCAACGCTGCAGTGAGCTATGACTGCACTATTGCATACCAGCCTGGGCAATAGAGTGAGATTCTGTTTCAAAAACAAACAAATTAAATAAGATTAATGCCCTATTTCTCCAGAAAACATTGGAAGAAACACTTAAAGCTTTTCTTTATTTCTCTGGATTTTTCTACCAAGAGTTTTAATGGCCAGATTTCCAGTCCTCTTTAAAGTTCCAGTTGAGGACAGGTTACTCCGTGTCCTTTCCAAATGCTTCCTGCTGCACAATATAAAAGGCCCATAGCCTCTAGATCCTGTGATATAGTCTGTGCTGGATTAAGAAATGCCATCTACACAGGAAATAACCATCAATTACTAGCAAGTCTGGAAATGATCCAGATACCTCAGCCCTCAGGGAAAGTAAAAACATGAACAATGACATCACTCTGGTAAACTGCTGCTTAATAATAGTCTCCTTGTAGAGTCACACTATCTGAATCCATACAAAAGAATTTATTTTACTTGAGTGAAGAATCAACTTTTATGCTTATTCTTTCAAAAATAATCCACCTTTTTCAGACATCAAAATAGACTGAATATAAGCATCTTCAACTTTCCTCAGTAGTAAAATGGGGATACCAACCACCCCCTCTAAAGCACTGGGAGGTAACCTGAGACTAGCCCAGAGCACAGTGTCTGGCACAAGTGTTCTCCATACATGAAATAACTAGAACTCTGAGGGCTGGACATTCCTGTACATTCAGCACACAATGCAGCCATTAAAAAGTCTCCTCATAGGCCGGGTGCAGTGGCTCATGCCTGTAATCCCAGCACTTTGGGAGGCCAAAGTGGTCACATCACTTGAGGTCAGGAATTCGAGACCAGCCTGGCCAACATGGTGAAACTTGATCTTTACCAAAAAATTAAAAAATTAGCCAGGCATGGTGGTGCATGCCTGTAGTCCCAGTTATTTGGGAGGGAGAGATGGGAGAATGGCTTGAACTGGGGAGGTGGAGGCTGCAGTGAGCTAAGATCATACCACTTCACTCCAGCCTGGGTGACAGAGTGAGACCCTGTCTCAAAATAATAATAATAATAATGATAATAGAAAAGGCTGGCTAGGTGCAGTAGTTCATGCCTATAATTCCAGCACTTTGGGAGACCAAGGTAGAAGGATGCTTGAGGCCACGTGTGTGAGAACAGCCTGGGCAATAAAGCAAGACCTTATCTTTACTCTTTTTTTTTTTTGAGATGGAGTCTTGCTCTGTTGCTCAGGCTGGGGTGCAATGGCATGATCTCAGCTCACTGCAATCTCTGCCTCCCAGGTTCAAGCAATTTTCTTGCCTCAGCCTCCTGAGTAGCTGGAACTACAGGTGCCCACCATCATGCCCAGCTAATTTTTGTATTTTTAGTTTCACCACATTGGCCAGGCTGGCCTCAAACTCCTGAACTCAGGTGATCTACCCATCTTGGCCTCCCAGAGTGTTGGGATTACAGGCATGAGCCACCACACTCAGCCAAGATAAGACCCTATCTTAAAAAATAAAATAAAAAGGTAAATTTCATTTTCTCTGTATTTTACCACTCCCTATATATATGTGTGTGTGTGAGTCCAAAACAATTAACTCTTCCATTCAGCTTTCAATTTACTGACTCATCCTACCCTCAATAAAAGAGGGTAGGAATTTAAGATAATTACTATACTTATCTTAAATTCAAATTCTTAATGGATTTTCATAAGCTTGAAGAAAGTAATAGAATTTTCTTAAAATCAAGATCCAAATTTACTTACCTATTCTGGATTCCAGTAGAATCATTTTTTAGCCCAAAGTAAATGGCACCTATAACCAGTCCCAGTATGACTGTGACAATGATCTTTTCAAAAAGAAAAATGCAAATAAAAAAGAAAAGAATTTCAATTAGAGGTAAAAACGTATACACACCATTTATTATTATAATATATATGGTTACATAATCAGATATCTCCATTAAGATAAACACTCAATGGCTTGGCCAATGTCCCTGGGAGAAAATAAAACAGTAGACATTATTTAGACTGCTTCCTAAATTAAGTTATCTGTGGTTTGGGGGGAGTGCTAGGACACAAAACACATGACTGGAAAGCTGGGGGCTTCCTCTCATTGCAACACCCAGCAGCCAGTTCAGGATCTGCCTCAGGTTACTGGGCTCATAATTACTACAGCGCGTAGCAGAGCAATGCAAATACACAGCAAAGCAAGGTCCAGGTGATTAAGAGTTTTGACCCTGAACTGAACTCTCGAACTTTGTGCCAATGAATATGCACCATTTTATGTTTCAAGAAATTAAAGTGAAAACAGGATATCTTTACTCTTAACATTAAAAATAAATAAAAATTTAAAAGCACACATTTAAAAAATTCTAACAATGGAATTTTGCACAATAAGGAAATAGGGGTGAAATGGAGCCTGCTTATCCAACCTCTAGGGAGTCCATGCCTGCACTGGAAAAGTGCATTGTCACTGCCACCAAAGCATTCAGCCAGCTTTCTCTGTGCACACTCTGTGTGCTTCCATGACCCATCTCCCATCACTGCTTCCTCACCGCTTCAGCCAATGAGACCTACAGCCAATGCTGCAGACCTAAGCTGCCAATTCTTTGCCATTCTCACCTGTCTTCACCACTCAATCTATATCTATGGCTCCTAAGGAGACTGGACAAACAATACTCTTGCTTCTAGGATAAAAGTTTTCCTAAGGACACTTCAATAAGCAAAGGGTTAAGAGTTATGTTATAATATAATTTATTTGAGGAAATCCTACTTATATTTACTCATGAGTTACATATTAAAAAACAAGAATTTTTTTTTCTTTCTGGGCTTGGTGGCTCATGCCTGTAATCCTAGCACTTTGGGAGGCTGAGGAGGGCAGATTGCTTGAGCCCAGGAGTTCGAGACCAGCCTGGGCAACATGATAAGACTCTGTCTCTACTTAAAAAAAAAAACACACACACACACAAAATAAATTAGGTAGGCATGGTGGTATACGCCTCGTAGTCCCAGCTACTCAGGAGGCTGAGGCACAAGAATTGCTTGAACCCTATAGGTGGGGGTCACAGTGAACTGAGATCGCACTACTCTACTCTAGCCTGGACAACAGAATGAGACTCTGTCTCAAAAAATAAATTGATAAATAAATAAATAAATAAAAATAAGAAATGGTAATCTAAAAAAAAAAATACCACCATATCTTGAAATCATTAAAGTTAAAAGAAAATCTCATTACTGCAACAGTCTAGTGGCATCAAGATTTAAAGTAATGGACACTTTTAGCATGAAGCAAACCAAACTGTGAAAACAGAACCATGATCTGTGATAACTTGTTTGTGGAGAACCTAGTCTGGAAAAAATATTACTTCAATGTTTCTACTTATGTCTTTTAAAATTCACTTAGAAATTCTGATGGGAAATCCATTATGCTGGCATATTTTCATTAATCTCGTAATATACTTTAACAGATCAAGCTTCCAAAATAAGTGCAAATGACTATATCAACATGCATGCATGTGTATACAAAAGTCTATATTTTCACATAGTAAAACTTTTAAGAATATTCAATTCAGTATTGTCTCTTTTTTTTGAGACAGAGTCTCGCTCTGTCACCGAGGCTGGAGTGTAATGACGTGATCTCAGCTCACGGCAACCTCCACCTCCCAGATTTAAGCCATTCTCCTGCCTCAGCCTTCCAAGTGCTGGGATCACAGGTGTGTACCACCATCCCTGGCTAATTTTTGTATTTTTAGTAGAGACGGGATTTCACCATGCTGGCCAGGGTGGTCTCGAACTCCTGACCTCAGGTGATCCTCCCATCTTGGCCTTCCAAAGTACTGGGATTATATGAGCCACCATGCCAGGCTCAGACTTTTCAAACTAGACATTCCACATGCTTTGTCAAGTTTGCTTTCAAACTTGTTATCATATACTAACACTGAGTATTATGATTAAGATGTTTCCTAAAAATTTCAAAGTTCTAAAAGTGTTTTCAAAGTCAGCTTTCAAACATATTGACAAAATCAATCTTGTAACCTTGGCATGCTTTCATAAGGTGTGTCTGTGTTATTCTTTCTGGCATTAAAGAAAAGAAAACAAGCAGGCAAACTAAACAATGCACAATGGAATGCACAGACCCCATCTACTTCCAAGTTGATCTGTTCAGGAAACCCTTGGCACATTAAGTGAACATTAAATCTTCTCACACAGATAATCCATTCATTGTAAGATTTTTCCAAATACAACCTTTGGAAGATGTACTATCAGAGGCCAAGTTTGAATCATGTAAAGAAATAAAGTCAAAGTACAGCTGTAAAGCAACAGATACAAAATTTATGAGCAGAGAGCCATAAAACATTTTAACACCTCAATTTTCAAGAACTCAGAATTCAAACAACATACAAAATTACAAACCCTAAATCAGTAATCATTAAGCTGTAGCCCACAGGTCAAATAGGGCCAGCCACCTACCTTTGTTCACCCATGAGCTAAGAATGATTTTTTACTTTATTTTTTCTCATTTTTTTAGAGGCAAGTTCTCACTCTGGCACTCAGACTGGAGTGCAGTGCTATAATCATAACTCACTGCAGCCTCAAACTTCTAGGTTCAAGCAATCCTCCCACCTCAACCTCCCTCCTGAGTAGCTAGTACTGTAGACATGCACCACCATACCTAGCTCATTTTATTAATGGTTGAATAAAAGTCAAGGAGAATGATATTTCTTGCAATATAAAATTTACATAAAGTTCAAATTTCAGTGCCCATGTATAAAATTTTATTGGAATACTGCCATGTTTGTTTATTTATGTTATTAGCTACGGCTGCTTTCACACTAAAATGGCAGAGCTGACTACCTGAGACAAAGATACTTGGTCTGCAAAGCCTAAAATATTTACTACCTGGTCCTTTACAAAAAAGAAAAAAGTTTGCCTACTCCTGCCCTAAGCTAATATTCCAGTTTTTTACAATTCTAAACAAAACTTGTCCTGCTAAGCAGATGCTCAGGGAGATACAAGGTTCTATTCTTATTCTATGAGACTGCCACTGCTCTGAACATGGCTGGAATTCCTTTTGTGAAAGTGAGTTCACTGATGAGGCAGGGAAGCTAAACCTGCAGGCACTAGGCCAGATGTTAGCATTAGAAGGAAGCCTAGTATCACAACATGCAGAAACTTAGTGTGTGACAAATAGCTCTGTGTTCTAATTATGCCCTCTCCAGAACTACCATGTAGGTGATTTGGACAAGACATTTATAAACCACTTTTTGAAGCAAGATAATTCAAGTTATTTTCCGAGTAAGAAAAATCCAATGCATACATCACACTACAAGAGCAAATCGTTACATCATTTCACTGCTGACAATAAGTAACCCAGGTTGATCCTACCAGACTGATTTCCAAATGATATCAAATCTGCACTCAAAGAATAACATTTTACCCTTAAATGATATATAAAAGTGCCAATGTTCTCACAGAAACACCAAATTATAAGTACCAAAACCATTTGGAGCAATTAGCAGTATGGCTCAACTAGGGACACAAGCTAGATATATTTACATATATTCTTAAGTATGGAAATGACGATGCACAAGTTTAAACGTCAGTAATATTTTGCTAGAGCCGACAATGTGCCATTCTTTAGTACTCAACAGAAACTCAATATTGTTAACAAAAATAGTAGCCCCAAAATAACGAGCCAAATTGATTTATTTGAAGAACAGACCAATTAATTGGGAGTACTAATGTTTTGGGTGACAGAGGGGTTAAGAATAACAGAAAAGGCCAGGCATGGTGGCTTACACCTGTGATCTCAGCACTTTGGGAGGCCAAGGCAGGAGAATCGCTTGAGCCCAGGAGTTCTAGACCAGCCTGGACAACATAATGAGACCCTGTCTCTACAAAACATTTAAAAATCAGCCATGTGCTGTCATGCACACCTGTAGTCCTAGCTACTAACGAAGCTGAAGTGTGAAGATTGCTTGAGTCAACAGTTTGGGAATGCAGTGAGCTATGATTGCACCATGGCACTCCAACATGAGCAAGAGAATAAGACCCTGTCTCTAAAAAAAAAAAAAAAAAAAAAAAAAAAAAAAATTTAAAGAAAAGAATAACAAAAACCATAAGGAGTAATAATCACCAACTACCACAGAGTCAACCAAGGAATAAAGAAACATTATCTCATTTTGATGAACAGAAAGTTAATCTTTTGTGAACTCAAATTTGATTACTACCTTTGTATCACCTGTTAAGGAAGGTCAAGGTCAATGATAAGGCATAGCACTTTGCACACAAGCTCTTCCCTTGGAGAGGCCGGCCCATGTTCTCTTCAGGTGTATTCAGTGACAGTAGGTGAAGGTTTCCCTGACCACCTGATTCCAACTGCAAATCAACCTTCTTCTCCTTATTTCTCTCTCTTCCTCCCCTTTCTCTGCTCCTTCTTTGCTTAAACTTTCCCCATAGTTCCTCTACTATCTAACATGCTATATATTCAATTTCTTTATTATTTATCATACCTGTCCTCATCAGAAAATTAGCTCCGTGAGCAGAGTTTTATTTTTGCCCATTTTGTTCACTACTGTATTCACATCCCTAAAGTACAGCACATGCCCCACGAGAACGTTTTGAATGAATCAGTGAATAAAAGTGAACAGCTACCAGAAAACCCCAAACATAGCTGACATTTCCTTCACGTTTTCCAAATAAAAATATTTTTCTACTAAGATTATTCATTACAGCTTATCTAAACCAACAAAAATTCTGAGTTAGGTAGTCTAAGAAACCACTAAAAACAAGCTGGCCGGGTATGGTGGCTCACTCCTGTAATCCTAGCACTTTAGGAGACTGAGGCAGGAGAATCACTTGAGCCCACGAGTTCAAGACCAGCCTGGGTGGTGGAACTCTGTCTCTACACAAAACACAAAAATTAGCTAGGCAAGGTGGGACATGCCTGTAGTCCCAGCTATTCAGGAAGCTAAGGTGGGAGGATGACTTGAGCCTGGGGAGGTCAGGGCTGCAGTGAGCTGAGTTCATGCCACTGCGCTCTAGCCTGGGCAAAAGAGTGGGACTCTGTTTAAAAAAAAAAGCAGCTTTCCAAAAGTAAAACTTAATTGTGCTTCATCGTTCTGCTGACTGTTTCTATATATTTGTTCTGCTGTTTCTAGTTATTTGTGAAGATAACAAACAACTGCAAGGGTAGGTTGAAGATAAACATATCCTGAAGCAGGTGATAACAGAATCATGTTGTTCCCATTTGACTATTTCAAAAGAATCTGCTGGTTACCTGAGCTATAGAGGCCTGGGGATTACCCAGCAAGTTTTTGAATGAACGCTTGGAAACCCATCTGAGTTGATGACAGAAGGAGGTGGTATAGGTGACCTCCCTGAAGACCGTGGTCTTCTTCTTCTTCTCACCCCTTGAGAGTTGATCTAATTCCGCTTTTGTCTCTTTGTAGAAGGAGGAGTTGATATAAATCTCGGCTAATTTTTCTATGAGTGGCTTATCCTGCTTGGAAGGCTCTATGATCTCCGTGGCTTTGCAATCAGTGGATAAAAAGGAAACATGAACAAGATAACAACTAATTTAGCCCATTTTTCTGTGACCCTTTTCTTGGATTCTTCCCAAACACCTTCATTCTAAAGCTTTAGAAAAAAAAAAAAAAGAAATAAAAAATTTATTAGCTCTGTCATTAGAAAAATATAACAGGCCAGGCACAGTGTCTCACTCCTGTAATCCCAGTATTTTGGAAGGCAGAGGCAGGAGGATCATGCGAGGCCAGGAATTCAAGACCAGCCTGAGCAACAAAACAAAACTCTGTCTCTGTAAAAATAAAGTAATAAATTAAAAATAAACTTTAAAAGAGAAAAAGGGAAAAAAAGAACAGTGCACTAGCCTGTCTACTGCCACAGTCTTATGAATACAGCAAACCTACTGACATTTTCCTATTTGACCTTAATTATTTTAAAATAGACTTCTTATCATATAGTTCTAATTCTTAATATAAAATTATGGTTGTGGCCAGGTGCGGTGGCTCACGCCTGTAATCCCAGTACTTTGGAAGACTGAGGAGGGAGGATCACTTGAGGCCAAGAGTTCAAGACCAGCCTGACCAACATGGTGAAACCCTGTCTCTACTGAATATACAAAAATTGACTGGGTGTGGTGGTGCAGGCCTGCAATTCTAGTTACTCGGGAGGCTGAGGCAGGAGAATCACACTCCAGGAGGCAGAGGTTGCAGTAAGCTGAGATTGTCCCATTGCACTCCAGCCTGGGTGACAAGAGCTAGACTCTGTCTCAAAAATGCAACAACAAAACAATCTGTTCGTTGCTTCCAACTATATGCAAATGTATACATTGCCAAGTTTCTTATTTTAAAAACACTATATAAACAATAAATGTTTTTTAAAATGGTAACTCCTATTAGAACTGACAACATCATATAAATTCTCATTTATAAATTAAAACACCAACAGCACTCACACACAACAAAATATTTGTGTTGACTAGTATCAGAAGACTGCATTAATAGAAATTCACAAAGCTGCATTATAATTAGCCACCACATTGCTAAACTTCAGCCAATTCAATTAGACAAAAATCTGGGACTATAACAGATTCATACACCTTTGAAGTCTTCTTCTCTGTTTAATACCACAGCAGTGGAATCTCCATTAATGACATCCAAGAAGAAGTCTGCAGGGTTATTATAGGCCTCACAGTGATAACCTATGAAAGAAGGGAGGCAAAAAACACAAATTTGATGGTCTTGGAAAATAAAGAGGGCTCACTTTCAGAGGGTAAGGGAGGTGAGGCTAGAGAAAACAGAATCTAACAACTTCTCCCTACCTTTGTTTCTCTCTTCTTCCCACGCCAGTTTTATCCTTTCTTTTTATATATTCAATCACACAATTTTTTTTTTTTGAGACAGGGTCTCCCTCTGTCACCCAGGCTGGAGTGTGGTAGCACTATCTTGGCTCACTGCAACCTCTGCTTCCCGAGTTCAAGTGATTTTCCTGCCTCAGCTTCCCAAGTAGCTGGGATTACAAGCATGCACCATCACACCCAGCTAATTTTTGTATCTTTAGTAGAGACAGGGTTTCACCATGTTGGCTAGGCTGGTCTCGAACTCCTGGCCTCAAGTGATCCACTAGTCTTGGCCTCCCAAAATGCCGGGATTACAAGCATGAGCCACTGTGCTTAGCCTATCTCGCAATATTTCAACAATTCTTTGTCTCCTGGCCAAAAGAAAAGAAAACACTCCAAGACAACCTTGGATTTGCAGGACATTTTACATTAGTGCTTGGTCCTTATTTATCGTAATTCATGAGACCTGAAATAGCTATCGGTATGCTCTGGTGCTTAACAGTACTTCCTCAAAAATCTAAATATAGGCCCAAGAAAAAAAATACCAAAGCCCAGGTGTGTTCTGCTGTCTGAGTTCACCTAGGGAATGCCAGAATGATGGAATCCACATTAGCAATGATTGCTTCCCCACATACTAAATTCAGAGGTCCAGGGCCAGGTGCAGTAAAGTGGCTCACGCCTGTAATCCCAACACTTCAGAAGGCCAAGGCCAGGAAATCGCTTGAGCCCAGGAGTTCGAGACCAACCTGGCCAACGTGGCAAAACCCCAACTCTACTAAAAACGCAAAAATTAGCCAGGTGCTTGTGACTACAATCCCAGCTACTAGGGAGGCTGAGGCACAAGAATCACTTGAACCTGGGAGGTGGAGGTTGCAGTGAGCTGAGAAAGCACAACTGTCAAAAAAAAAAAGAAAAGAAAGAAAAGAAAGCATCACTGCATTTCAGCCTGGGCAACAGAGTGAGACCCTGTCTCAAAAGTAAATTAATTAGTTAATTAATTAATTCAGAAGTCCAAATTAACTGCTGTGCTGCTATAATTCCAAGCAGAGAACAAATCCCCCAAGCAGTATTCTCAGTAGAACATGGCCAGCACAGCACACTTGAACCAACCAGCTCAGATGATGAGATCATCTGAACTCAGCATGACATGAAGTCTGACTCTTAGTTCTTCCCCTTTATTAAAAACTAATTCAGACATATGGCCAATGAATATCTAAAATTATATTTAGAATCATTTATAATCATATCCAAATATCTCTCAAATGAAGCAGGCTGCACAAGCCATTTAAAAAAATCACACATTTCTATCTGAAATTTTAAAAATCACACATTTCAATTTGAATAAAAAGAACCATGCAGCCCAGAATTGTTAGAAATTTTGGCCCATGTAAGTCAGATTTAGGATTAACCACTCTATTGACCAAAAAGCCACCTCATACACACTCAAGGGCTAAAGCTGCAATCTATAGTTGCCAGAAAATTAAATAGTGTCTGCCAGGCACGGTGGCTCACACCTGTAATCTCAGCACTTTGGGAGGCCAGGGCACATTGCTTTAGCTCAGGACTTTGAAACCGGCCTGGGCAACATGGCAAGACCCTGTCTCTAAAAAAATACAAAAATTAGGTGGATATGGTGGTGTGTATCTATAGTCCCAGGTGCTTGGGGGAGCTGAGGTGGGAAGATGGCTTGAGCCCCGGGGTTGAGGCTGCAGTGAGCCAAGATTGTGCCACTGTACTCCAGGCTGGGTGACAAAGTGAGATCCTGTCTCAAAAAAAAAAAAAACAAAAAAGCCTTAAAATATAAAATTAAGCAGCATCTCCATGGGTGCTCATCGAGGCAGACCAACATCATGTGCAAGGAGAAAAATTATAAGGCCTCATCTGTTATACAGTCAAGACAATCATATTATGTCCATCCAAATAATGTACATGTGACAGAATAACTGGCTATAAGGCAAACATATTAATTACTGAACTTTTAAGAAATGGTCACTATAACTAGGAAGCAGAATATAGGCCCAGTAGAAATACTGATACACAGCTGCAGGCACACTCAAGTAAGACAAAAAAGAGACCTAAATAACAAGCTGGTGCTGCACAATGAAGAAAAATACTAGCGCCAGATGGAACAGGTACATTTTGAAGTGATAGATTGTCATGGTATGTCTAGCCAAAGACCAACAGCACTCCTGCAGACCCCCTTTGCTCTCCTTCAGAATTCTATTAATGAAAGGTCTTACAGCATGAAAACGTCAACCATACCAGCTGATTCAAAGTATCCCAAGGCCTCCTGAGCAGGCCCATGGAACATAAGTCTTCCTGAGGCCAATAAGGTGAGGCTATCAAACAACTTGAAGATGGAATATCGAGGCTGATGTATGGAGAAGATGATTGTTCGTCCCTGCTTAGACATCCTAAGTTAAAAGTGAGACAATTATGAGTCATTAAATATCTGAAACTTGTACTTCTTCGTAAAATATTCCTGCCTTTAGATTGTTTGCTCCAAGTTTAACTTGACTCTCTCTTATTAACTTTTCATCTCATATTATTTATCTAGTTAAGAAACCTAAATTCATTTCATTAAAACAGAATAGGAATTTTCAAAGCGTGTTGCATTGACAATCTAGAATCAACTAAAATGGTTATTAATAATGCAGATTCCATGACAGTCTTCCCAGACATTGAATTAGAATCTCTGGGAGTGGGTCTAGGAAATCCTTTTTTTTAGATAGAGTCTCACTCTGTTGCCCAGGCTGAAGTGCAGTGGCACAACCTTGGCTCACTGCAACCTCCACCTCCTGAGTTCGAGCAATTATCCTGCCTCAGCCTTCCAACTAGCTGTGACTACAGGCACGTGCCACCACGCCCAGCTAATTTTTTGTATTTTTAGTAGAGATGGGGTTTCACCGTATTGCCAGGATGGTCTCATTCTCCTGAAAACATGTGATCTGCCAACCTTAGCCTCCCAAAGTGCTGGGATCACAGGTGTGAGCCACCACACCCAGCCAGGAATCCACATTTTTAAGAAGCAACCCAGATAATCTGTAAATATGTTCAAGCTTGAAAACTAATTATGGACTACATGTTAAAACAACAGTCATTTATCCTATTCTGACTTACCATTTAGGTCTTCTGGCTGTTTAGAAATTAGTTTCAACTCTTCTGCTCTAATATTGCAATTAACATTACTAAGTACTTACTATGTCTTTGAAAAATACTTTAGGAATAACTTCATTTCAATTTTCACAATATTGTTGTGAGGCAGTTCCACTATTATTATTACCCCCATTTTATAAATATGTCTTAAAGGATCAAGCAACTGGCCTAGGGATCACAGTTAGTAAGGGGCAAGGCTGGGATTTAATCTCTGGTCTAATTTCATGACCGAAATAGTACTGAAGTACCTTTTTACAGGAGTCACAACTCAACTTACAGGTTGACATGGTTTGGCTGTGTGCCCATCCAAATCTCATCTTCAATTGTAATAATTCCCATATGTCAAGGGTGGGGCCAGGTGGAGATAATTGAATCATGAGGGCAGTTCCACATACTGTTTGCTGGTAGTGAAAAAGTCTCACTAAATCTGATAGTTTTATAAATGGGAGTTTCCCTGAACAAGCTCTCCTGCCTGCTGCCACGTACAACATGGCTTTGCTTCTTGTTTGCCTTCCACCATAATTGTGAGGTCTCCTCAGCCATGTGGAACTGTGAGTCCATGAAACCTCTTTCCTTATAAATAACCCAGTGTCAGGTATGTCTTTATTAGCAATGTGAGAATAGACCAATATAGTAAATTGGCACTGCTGCTGTAAGATACCCAAAAATATGGAAGCCACTTTGAAACTGGGTAACAGGCAGAGGTTGGAACAGTTTGGAGGGCTCAAAAGAAGACAGGAATATGTAGGAAAGTCTGGAACTTCCTAGAGATGTACTGAATGGCTTTAACCAAAATGTTGATAGTGATATGGACAATGAAATCCAGGTTGAGGTGGTCTCAGATGGAGATGAGGCACTTGTTGGGAACTGGAATAAAGGTGACTCTTGCTACCTTTTAGCAAAGAGACTGGTGGCATTTTGTCCCTGCCCTAGAGATTTGTGGAACTAAGAACTTGAGAGAAATGATTTAGAGCATCTAGCAGAAGAAATTTCTAAGCAACAATGCATTCAAGATGTGAGTTGGGTGCTGTTAAAAGTATTTAGTTTTATTCATTCACAAAGAAATAGTTTGAAATTGTAACTTATGTTTAAACAGGAAGCAGAGCAAAAAAGTTCAGAAAACTTGCAGCCTTATGATGCAATAAAAAAGAAAAACCCATTTTCTGAGGAGAAATTCAAGACTGCTACAGAAATTTGCATAAGTAATAGGGAGCCAAATGTTAGTCACCAAAACAATGGGGAAATGTTTCCAAAGCATGACAGAGGTCTTCAAAGCAGCCCCTCCCATCATAGGCCCAGAGGCCTAGGAGGAAAAAATGGTTTCCTGGGCCAGGCCCAGGGCCTTGCTGCTTTGTGCAGTCTCGGGACTTGGTGCTCAATGTCCCAGCCACAGTTAAAGGGGACCAACAGAAAGTTCAGGCCATTGTTTCAGAGGGTGCAAGTCCCAAGCCTTGGCAGCTTCCATGTGGTATTAGGCCTGCCCTTCACCTAGATTTCAGAGGATGTATGGAAATACCTGGATCTCCAGGCAGAAGTCTATTTCAGGTGTGGAGCCCTCATGGAGACTCTCTGCTAGGGCAGTGCAGACAGTAAATGTGGGGTGGGAACCCCCACACAGGGTCCCCACTGGGGCACTGCCTAGTGGAGTGATAAGAAGAGGGCCACCATCCTTCAGACTCCAGAATCCACCAACAGCTTGTACTGTGCACCTGAAAAAGCCACAGACACTCAGTGCCAGCTTGTGAAAGTAGCCAGGCAAGGGGCTGTACCCCACAAAACCACAAGGCTGGAGCTGCCCAAGGCCCTGGGAACCCACCTCTTGCATCAGCATGACTTGTATGCTAGATAGGGAGTCAAAGGAGACAACTACAGAGCTTTAAGATGTGACTGCCCCTTTGGATATCTGACTTGCATGGGGCCTGTAGCCCCTTCATTCTGGTCAATTTCTCCCATTTGGTACAGGTGTATTTACCCAATGCCCATACTCCTATTGTATCTAGGAAGTTATTAACTTGCTTTTGATTTTACAGGCTCAAAGGTGGAAGAAACTTGCCTTGTTTCCGATGAGACTTTAGACTGTGAACTTTTGAGTTAATGCTGAAATGAGTTAAGACTTTGGGGGACTGTTGAGAAGGCATGATTGGTTTTGAAATGTGAGGACATGAGATTTGGGAGGGGCTAGGGGCACAATTATATGTATCCCCAACCAAATCTCACCTTGAATTGTAATAATATTTGTAATAATTATAATAACATTATACAGGTAGAAGAAAAAAAGGCCAAAATCACTGTTTAAAACAGTTACTATTCAAAATATTTTATGAGAAGAGTCACTTAAATTTCTTTTCTTTTTTTTTTTTGAGACAGAGTCTTGCTCTGTCACCAGGCTAGAGTGCAGTGACGCAATATCAGCTCACTGCAATCTCTGCCTCCCAGGTTCAAGCGATTTTCCTCCCTCAGCCTCCTGAGTAGCTTGGACTACAGACATGAACCACCCAGCTAATTTTTATATTTTTAGTGGAGACAGAGTTTTGCCATGTTGGCCAGGATTGTCTCAATCTCTTGACCTCATTATCCACCCATCTTGGCCTCCAAAAGTGCGGGGATTACAAGTGTGAGCCACCACACCTGGCCTAGAAGAGTCACTTCAATTTTAACATTTTCTAAGAACCTACTGTACACTAGCAGTATATACAAGGACATTCTGCCTCAAAGATCAGATCAGGCCACTAGGTCAACAATTTCAGTACAATATGAAACAGGAGAAGCTAAAGATTCCTTGTAAGCAAAATAGGAGACTCACAACCCAGTCTGAAGATTATATAAGTAGAGTTAAAAAGGCCCAACAGGAGTAAGCTAAGAAGAAGAAAAAAAGCACTCGAGGTGGAAGAATAAGATGAACAAAGTGTGAAACAAGAAGGTCTACTATGAAAACTACAGCATGTTCAGTGTTATAGAGAAGAAAGAGAGAAAAAATGTGTGTGTGTGTGTGTTGGTGTTGAGTAAAGAAGCTAAAGAGACAGTGGCAAAACAGGCCCAGCACCGCCATCCTCACCAAGGCCATCCTTCCCTACACTCTTACCTGCTTTGATTTTCTTGATAACACTTTTCACATTTGTTAACTGACTTTGCCTCCAACAGAAGAGGAAGAAATTGTTTTGATCTTTTCTGAATCCCCTGCACCAAGAAATACCTGGGATATAGCAGTGATGAGATATTAACTAAGGAATAATATTCCCATAGCATTTACCTTTTCAGGAGCAAAAGGACAGCATTTGCTGTGCTCGAGTCTAAGCCAGTTGTGGGCTCATCCAAGAACAAGATGGAAGGATCAGTAATAAGCTCCATTCCAATACTAGTCCTTTTTCTTTCTCCTCCAGACACACCACGGATAAACTGAGTTCCAACCTAAATCACAAATATTATCATTGTCAATGATAACAAGCAATCACTATAGTTTGGTGAGCTCCTAACATGTGTCAGTCCTGTAAGAAACACTTTATCTCATTAAGCTCATTTACTCTGAACAGGAAATAAGTGGATACCTGGAAGAAAAAGTAGATTTCTCTTTTATCAGATGAGTAAACTTAGGCTCAGGTCAGAGCTGGTCAGTAACTAAGCCTGATATAAAGCACCTGCTTGGGTGGGGCACTGCCTCACCTGGGAAGCACAAGGGGTGGGGGAACTCCCTTCCCTAGCCAAGGGAAGCTGTGAGGAACTGTGCCATGACAAACAATGCATTCTGGCCCAGATACTATGTTTTCCCCATGGTCTTCACAACCCGCAGACCAGGAGATTCCCTCGGGTGCCTACACTACCAGGGCCCTGGGTTTCAAGCACAAAACTGGGCAGCTGTTTGGGCAGACACCGAGCTAGCCATGGCAGTATTTTTCATACCCAAGTGGCACCTGGAACATCAGTGAGACACAACTGCTCACCCCGCTGGAAGGGGGGCTGAAGCCAAGGAACAAAGTGGTCTAGCCTAGCTCAGAGAATACCATTCCCATGGAGCCCAAGAAGCTAAGATCCACTGGCTTGAAATTGTCTCTGCCAGCACAGCAGTCTGAAGTTGACCTGGAATGCTCAAGCTTGATGGGGGAAGGGGTGTCCACCAAGACTGAGGCTTGAGTAGGCATTTTTTTCCTCATTGTGTAAAGCTACCAGGAAGTTCAAACTGGGAAGAGTCCACCACAGCTCAGCAAAGCTGCTATAGCCAGACTGCCTCTCTAGATTCCTCCTCTCTGGGCAGGGCATCTCTGAAAGAAAGGTAGCAGCCCCAATCAGGAGCTTACAGGTAAAACTCCCTTCTCCCTGGACAAAGCACTTGGGGGAAGGGGTGGCTGGGAACACAGCTTCAGCAGATTTAAACGTTCCTGCCTGCTGGCTCTGAAGAGAGCAGTGGATCTCCCACCACAATACTCAAGCTCTGATAGGGGACAGACTGTCTGCTTAACCGGATCCCTGGCCACCATGCCTCCTGACTGGGAGACACCTCCCTGGGGGAGTCTATAGACACCTCATACAGGAGAGCTCTGGCTAGCATCTGGTGGGTGCCCATCTAGGACAAAGCTTCCAGAGGAAGAAACAGGCAGCAATCTTTGCTGTTCTGCAGCCTCTGCTGGTGATACCCAGGCAAACAGGGTCTGGAGTAGACCTCCAACAAACTCCACAGACCTGCAGCAGAGGGGCCTATTACAAGGAAAACTAACAAACAGAAAGGAATAGCACCAACATCAACAAAAAGACGTCTACAGACAGAAACTCCATCCAAAGGTCACAAACATCAAAGACCAAAGGTAGATAAATCCACAAAGATGAGGAATAACCAGCATTAAAAGGCTGAAAATTCCAAAAACCAGAACTTCTCTACTCCTCCTCCAAGAATCACAACTCTTCCCTAGCAAGGGAACAAAATTGGAAAGAGAATGAGTTTGACAAACTGACAGATGTAGGCTTCGGAAGGTGGGTAATAACAAACTCCTCTGAACTAAACAAGCATGTTCCAACCCAATGCAAGGAAGCTAAGAACATTGAAAATCGGTTAGAGTAATTGCTAACTAGAATAACCAGTTTAAAGAAGAACAAAAATAATCTAATGAAGTTGAAACACACAGCACAAGAATGTTGTGAAGCAAACACAAGTATCAATAGCGAAACAGATCAAGCAAAAGAAAGAATATCAGAGACTGAAGATCAACTTAATGAAATAATGCATGAAGAGAAGATTAGAAAAAAAAGAATGAAAAGAAACAAACAAAGCCTCCAAGAAATATGGGACTATGTGAAAAGACTAAACCTACATTTGACTGGTGTACCTGAAAGTGATGAGGAGAATGCAACCAAGTTGGAAAACACTCTTCAGGATATTATTCAGGAGAATTCCCCCCACCTAGCAAGACAGGCCAACATTCAAATTCAGGAAATACAGAGACTATCACAAAGATACTTCTTGAGAAGAGCAACCCCAAGACATATAATCATCACATTAGCCAAGGTTGAAATGAAGGAAAAAATGTTAAGGGCAGCCAGAGAGAAAGGTCAGGTTACTCACAAAGGAAAACCTATCAGACTAACAATGGATCTCTCTACAGAAACCCTACAAGTCAGAAGAGAGTGGGGGCTAATATTCAACTTTCTGAAGGAAAAAAACTTTCAACCCAGAATTTCATGTCCAGCCAAACTAAGTTTCATAAGCAAAGAAGAAATAAAATCCTTTACAGACAAGCAAATGCTGAGAGATTTTGTCACCACCAGGCCTGCCTTACAAGAGCTCCTGACAGATGCACTAAATATAAAAAGGAAAAATCAGTACCAGCCACTGCAAAAACATACCAAATTATAAAGACCATCAACACTATGAAGAAACTGCATCAACTAATGGGCAAAATAACCAGCTAGCATCATAATGACAGGATAAAATTCACACATAACAATATTAACCTTAAATGTAAATGAGCTAAATGCCCCAATTAAAAGACACAGATTGGCAAATTGGATAGTCAAGACCCATAGGTATGCTGTATACAGGAGACCCATCTCATGTGCAGACACACATAGGCTCAAAATAAAGGGATAGAGGAATATTTACCAAGCAAAAGGAAAGAAAAAAAAAAAAACAGGGGTTTCAGTTCTAGTCTCTGATAAAACAGACTTTAAACCAACAAAGATAAAAAAACAAAAACAAAAACAAAAAAACACACACACACACAAAGAAGAGCATTACATAATGGTAAAAAGATCAATGCAACAAGAAGAACTAACTATCCTAAATATATATACACCCAATACAGGAGCACCCAGATTCATAAAACAAGTTCTTAGAGACCTACAAGGAGACCTAGACTCCCACACAATAATAGTGGGACACTTTAATTCCCCACTGTCAATACTAGACAGATCAAAGAGACAGAAAGCTAACAAAGATATTCAGGACTTGAACTCAGCTCCGGACCAAGTGGATCTAATAGACATATACAGAACTCTCCACCCCAAATCAACAGCATATACGTTCTTCTCAGCACCACATTACACTTATTTTTAAATTGACCACAAAATTGGAAGTAAAACACTTCTCAACAAATGCAAAATTATGATAATCATAACAAACAGTCTCTCAGACCACAGTATAATCAAATTAGAATTCAGGATTAAGAAACTCACTCAAAACCACACAACTACATGGAAACTGAACAACCTGCTCCTCAATGACTACCTGGTAAATAATGAAATTAAGACTGAAATAAATAAGTTCTTTGAAACCAATAAGAACAAAGATACAATGTACCAGAATCTCTGGGACACAGCTAAAGCAGTGTCTAGAGGGAAATTTATAGCACTACATGCCTACAGGAGAAATCGGGAAAGATTTAAAATTGATACCCTAACATCACTATTAAAAGAACTAGAGAAGCAAGAGCAAACAAATTCAAAAGCTAGCAGAAGACAAGAAATAACTAAGATCAGAGCAGAACTGAAGGTGACGGAGACACAAAAAAACCCTTCAAAAAAATCAATGAATCCAGGAGCTGGTTTCTTGAAAAGATTAACAAAATTGATAGACCACTAACTAGACTAATAAATATGAAAGGAGAGAATAATCAAATAGACACAATATAAAATGATAAAGGGGATATCAGCACTGATCCCACAGAAATACAAACTACCATCAGAGAATACTGGTCATCAGAGATAGTGGTCTATTGATTTTGTTAATATATACACCTCTACGCAAATAAACTAGAAAATATAGAAGAAATGGATAAATTCCTGGATATATACATCCTCCCAAGACTAAACCAAGAAGAAGTCAAATCCCTGAATAGACCAATAACAAGTTCTGAAGTGAAGGCAGTAATTAATAGCCTACCAACCAAAAAAAGCTCAGAACCAGATAGATTCACAGTCAAATTTTACTAGAGGTACAAAAGGACCTGGCACCATTCCTTCTGAAACTATTCCAAACAACAGAAAAAGAAGAGGGACGCCTCCCTAACTCATTGTATAAAGCCAGCATCATCCTGATACCAAAACCTGATAGAGACAGAACAAAAAAAAGAAAATTTCAGGCCAATATCCCTGATGGATATCGATACAAAAATCTTTAATAAAATACTGGCAAATAGAATCCAGCAGCACATCAAAAAGCTTATCCACCATGATCAAGTTGGCTTCATCCCTGGGATGCAAACCAATAAACATAATCCATCACATAAACAGAACCAAAGACAAAAACCATATCATTATCTCAATAGATACAGAAAAGGCCTTCGATAAAATTCAACACCTTTTCATGGTAAAAACTCCCAATAAACTAGGTATTGATGGAACAGATCTCAAAATAATAAGAGTTACTTACAACAAACTGACAGTCAATATCACACTGAATGGGCAAAAGCTGGAAGCATTCCCTTTGAAAACTGGCACTAGACAAGGATGCCCCCTCTCACCACTCCTATTCAACATATTGGAAGTTCTGGCCAGGGCAATCTAGGTTATATGCTCCTTATGAGAATCTAATGCCATGATGATATGTCACTGGTTTCCTATCACCCACAAATGGCTCCATCTAGTCGGAGGAAAACAAGCTCAGGGGGCTCCCACTGATTACATATTACAATGAGTTGAATAATTATTTCATTATATAGTACAGTGAAATAATAATAGAAATAAAGTGTACAATAAATGTAAGGCACTTGAATTATCCCAAAACCATTCCCCTACTCTGGTCCATGGAGAAACTGTCTTTCACTAAACTGGTCCCTGGTGCCAAAAAAGTTGGGGACTGCTGATAGAGAGCAAGAATCCTTGGACTCTCATCACTTATCAATCCCACAAATATACCTCAAAAGCAATGGAACGAAGTCCCATGGAGGAAGAGTGGCTAAAAGACAAAGAGAAAAAGAGGAAGAAGAAAAGTCAGTACGGATACAAAATGGGATGTGACTTAAACCATGAGGTAAGGAAGGAGCATAAGGAAAGGCCAAGTGATTAACACTTTCACATACAACACCACATTGCCCCTCTTTAGGTGGAGAATTCAACCACTGTGGAGATTTTTTTTCCAGATTAATTTCCACATTCATATTATGTAACAAGCCGCTTTTCACACTGTTATGGAAAGCAACCAGTTTTGACCGTGCACATTATAAGGAACTTCCAAATCAAAGTCATTTTATCCACACAGGGGAGGTCCTATTTATGCTGGTCACGATGCTTTCAGTTTTTTCAACATTACCTTGGAATCTGCCACTTTATCCAGACCTAACTCTTGAATGACTCTGTTAATCCGTTCGTTTTTTTCATGATTCGTCATAGTTGTTGGAAGCCGAAGAGCTGCTGAGAACTGTAAATTTTCTCTCACCGTCAGAGTACCCATCACAACATCATCCTTAAGGCAAACAGCATTTTAATGAGACATAATGAGTCTTTTCTAAGACCATGACTGTTTAGCATAGGTAACTTAATCCACAAAAATAACATAACAAAGGTAAAGTTCTAGTTAATGATGAACCTGCAATTCTACAAATGGCCGTAACTACATAGAAGTCTGCAAAGCCTGATATAATCATTTTTACCCCTTATCTGTACACCCAAATAGAACGCAAGTAATTATATTAACTATCAGCAGACATTTCCAGACTGTTTCATACAAGGATTGGCCAAAATATCTTTCTAAGCTAGGGGGGAAAAAGGTGAAAGAAAGACAAAAAAGGATAACAATAGTATCTTTTAGAAATGACACAAAAACTAGAATTGGTATCATTGTCCTTACAAGGGCCATACTCCAGATGCTCCCTGCCTTTTCACATAAGTGTCTGTGGGAAATTAAGAAAAGCTGCTGTTAAAAAAAAAAGTCAGTTCAATGATCATGTCACATAATCAATTGGAAGCACACTGAACTATCAGCCAAAGCTCTTACCCATATAGAAACTGAGGAAACAAAAAATGCAAACCCACTAATACTTACTTGTACCACGTAACCTGAATTACATTTGAAATTGGCAGGTCTCAGCGCTCCATTTATCAGAACATCTCCAGATAATCCACTTGGATCTTTCCTTGCAGCTAAGACATCTAATAACCTATAAGAGGACATACATGTTGTGGGTCTAATAATCTATAAGAGAATATATATGTTGTGAATTTTTTTCTCTCCAACACAGGGATATAGCATATAAGTTGTGGAGTTTTTTTCCCTCCAACACAGGGATATATCTCATGGCTACTTTGAATCCAAATTCTGCTTTAGTTAGAAAATTAACTGGTTGGCCAGACACAGTGGCTCACACCTGTAATCCCAGCACTTTGGGAGGCCAAGGCAGGAGGATCACCTGAGGTCAGGAGATGGAGACCATCCTGGCCAACATGGTGAAACCCCGTCTCTACTAAAAATACAAAAAATTAGCTGAGCATGGTGGTACATGCCTGTAATCCCAGCTACTTGGGAGACTGAGGCAGGAGAATCGCTTGAACTGGGGAGTCAGAGGTTGCAGTGAACTGAGATCATGCCACTGCACTCCAGCCTGGCTACAGAGCAAGACTCCATATCAAATAAAAAAAGAAAAAAAAAATTAACTGGTCAAGAAATTCTGTGGTTTAACTAGAATTATATATTTTTTTAATTCTCATCTTTCTCTTTCCATCAAACATTACAAGAAAGCCCCAAAACATAAGGCAAGACATCATTGGCTGATCAAGCACAGATCTCCCAAAGAGACCTTCCAGCTGTCTGACCTTGGATGTAGCAACAGAGGCAATGTGTTCTTTTGTCTAAGACTCATGCCTTTACTTACAACTTCTGCTCCTTTTCCCTACTTTCAATATTCTCCCATTCTTTTTCCTCCCCATTAGCTGATATCATGGTCAACTGCTATATGTCAATCACTTTATCAAGTCCTATTAGTAAAGCTAACCTAATAAGACTACTGATCCTTGGGATAGAACCACACAAATACAGTTATCCACAGCACCTAGAACCAGACCTGATATGCACAGCAAATGCTCAATAAATACCTGGTCACACAAAACAGTGGCTTTTAAAAGCACATTAAAAGTGCACAGAAAAAAAGTTTACTTATACTCTCTTATACTCACGAAGATTTGCCTCCACCTGTGGGTCCCAGGATGGCATTGAGGCCAGGTTTCATGATCCCACTGTAAACACAAAAAAAGACTGATTTACTATTCTGCTTTAAATCAGGTGCTATTAATTTAGGGTCTGCATTGAATATACTCAATGAAGGCTGATGAAATTACAAACAGAAAACAAGCACAAACCAGCTCTTAAAGAAAACAAAAACAAAAACAAAAAAACAGGCCAGGCATAGTGGCTCAGGCCTATAATCCCAGCACTTTGAGAGACCAAAGCAGAGGAATTTCCTGAGGCCAGAAGTTCGAGACCAGCCTGGGCAACATAGGGAGATACTGTCTCTACTTAAAAAAAAAAAAAAAAAAGATTGTTGATTTGATGTGCAATAGACAATGGATGTTAATCACTGGTCAAGTCCTACAAGAAAAATGGCATAGATTTCTCTAAATTCCTTTCACTTATTCTCTAACCCATTTATATTTTCTGGAAAATAACATTCAACATTCCTTGAAATAACTAACAGATTCTTGTGAAGCATCTCTTACTGCTCTTAACACAGTGTGAAATACATGCAGTGTTCTGAGCACTGCTTGATGATCAGTACTGTATCTTCAAGTGGTCTCTACATAGTTAATAAGTTGCCGATTTGTGGAATACAGATAGATGTATTCTCACTGCTAAAATCTAATTAGCCCAAGAAACATTTAAGTAGAAATCCAGAGGCTAGGAAAAATCACTTCAGGATAAAAAGCAAAAATTACCCAAAGGAAAAAAAAAGGTCCTAATCCATTTAGAAAAGTAAAAGATATACCCTCAAGATATATCATTTTCTTCCTTTTTAAGAGTCAGATAAATACACTGGAAAATTCCAAGTTTAGAAGCAGGAGACATCACTTTTGTAAGGGCATCCTTTAAGAATATGAAGACTTGGTACAGACAGAACGCATGTTTCAAACAAAGTGGGTGTCTGAGGGTAGTGAATATTCAGATAGAGTAGAATGGTGGGAAAATGTATGGCAGTGCTGACTGTGCTGAGACCCAAGAAGACAGCAAATAGTTTGATTTTATCCTAAAGATAGCAAGTAGAATGATAAGTAGAAGGAACTGGAGAAAGGAGAATTTGGTCAGGCACGGTGGCTCATGCTTATAATCCCAGCACTTTGGGGGGCCGAGTTGGGCAAATCACTTGAGGTCAGGAGTTCCTAGACTAGCCTGGCCAAGATGGCAAAACCCCATCTCTACAAAAAATACAAAAACTCGCTAGGCGTGGTGGCAGGTGCCTGTAATCCCAGCTACTCGGGAGGCTGAGGCAGGAGAATCACTCGAACCCAGGAGGTGGAAGTTACAGTGAGCCAAGATCAGGCCACTGCACTCCAGCCTGGGCAACAGAGCGAGACACCATCTCAAAATAAAACAAAAAAAGAAAGGAGAATTCAGGGTGGGGCCTGGCTTGATCCTTTCAAAATACCAGTGTCTATGCCCAGTCTCTCCTTAGAATTGGTAAGTAGGTTACAATGTATTCTATAGAGAAAGTAACATCTACTCCAGATGGAAGGTCAAAGTCAGACTATTTCATTCACAAATAATGATTAGCACAGAGGCCAGCCCTATGATCCTATGCAATTATGAGTGATAAGCAACTGCACCACAGTGCTTACACCCAAGACGCCCTAAACATTTACTACTGCCTGTTGTCCTTGAACTGTCACAATTGTACAATGGCTGGTAGGTAGCAGGGTGAAATGTAGCTTGCACTTTGCTCTTTAACTGGGGTATCTCTCACTGAAACACTGGACAAAGACAATGGGAATTAGGTAAACTAAGAGCAAGATATAACAGAAAAATCTCTTATTCTTTCGGTAGCCTTTCCCCGCTAATGTGTAAAACAACACACTAATGATTGGGCAAATTTTCAAGGTGCATTTATGTATAGCTCTTGATGCATCTTCTTTATAAATAGCTTCCTAATAACTGCCTCTAAAATTAGCATAAGCTTGTTATTCACTAAGGCTTCATTGTCAGAAAAGCTTTCCAGGTTTCTAAAATACCTACTCAAAGGAAGACCCAGAGATCCTGAATGATTAACCGAAACCTCAACATGAATGTTCTAAGACAAAGAGCTTGGCTTACTACTTTGGCATGACACTGACATTACAGAAAACAACAGTGTCCAGTTATAAATGCCAAGACTTGCCACTGGGAGCAGTGGCTAATTCCAACTCCATCCACTTGACACAATGATCAAGTGTTTACTATATACATACAAGATACTCTTCTAGGGCATGGGAGAGTTGAGAACAAAACAAACAACGAACAAACTAAAAACAAAGTCCGAGGCCTTGAGGAGTTTACATTCTAGTCCAGGGACCAGCATTTTTCTTATACAAAGGGTTTTTGGAACAGGGCTGTGCTCATTCACTTACGTATTACCTAGGGCTGCTTTCAGGCTACACCAGAATTGAATAGCTGCAACACAGATGTGTGGCCCCATAAAGCTGAAAATATTTATTAATACTATCTGGTCCTTTATGGAAAGAGTCTGCTGATCCCTGTTCTAGTCTATGGTCTATATTTCACTGACCTACCCACTCCATCTTCCACCCTTTTATCATCCCTGAAACTGCATTTCCCACGCTTATTTACTACTTTACAGCATTTACATGCAGGTTGGTGTCCCTCTCTCCACACAGTAAAATCTGTCAACATGAACAGCGTGCCACAGTCCTACCAGCTCTCACACCCTCCTGCCCATGACATACAGCACAGTGGTTATAGACCACTGAACAATAAACCTGGAACACAGGGAATCAAATTTACCCCCAAATTTCCTGTCACTTATATCACATTCTAGTGGATAATGATCAATCCCTTGGTCTTGACTCCAATTTAGGGTCTGGGCTCCCACTGAGTCTTCTAATCCTTTTATCATAGTGAAAGTGTGTTCTGAATCCCCCAGTAGGCTTTAAGGCTTCGCTGAACAGAGGATTTACCTGTGTCTCTAGCATCTTGCACAATGTCCTGCAACAGCAGGCATTCAAACTTTGTTGAATAAATAAATTTCTGCATTTTTATGGGAATTTACTTCTAAAAAGACAAAAATGTTTTCACTTTTTAAAAAGTTGAGAAGAGATAGCTAGAGGGTGGGGAGATTGTTTATATTATGGAATATGAAAATCAGCAAGTACATCCTGAAGGTACATTCTTAATGTACTTGCCAATTTTTGTATTCTATAATATAAACAATCTCCCCACCCTCTCTTGTCAATTACAGCTAGATTTTTCACTTTTTGAGATTTTACAAACATGGAAATATAGACAGAATCTTGAGGGTTTAGATTGGAATTGGAGATATTAATGAGAAGTCATAGGTTTTAATCCCATATACAAAGACAGCTATAGAAAGAGAGAGATCGAAATTCCCAGAGTGCTACGGGAATGGTCACCCACTGCTCCTCTGGCTCCTCTCCCATCTGCTTTAGCCAGATCTGTATGTGCCTACGCATGGGAGGTAGTTTTTTAAAAAGTTATACATGTATGTGTATGCACATGTGTGTAGACATATACGCATAACATATATTCTCTAGGTCTCACTCCACTGAGAAAGCCTAGAAGCAATGACAAGATCTCCCACGGGATGACTCCTGCTGTCACACCCTCCTGCCTGTAATCCCAGCACTTTGGGAGGCTGAGGCGGGCAGATCACAAGGTCAAGAGATGGAGACCATCCTGGCCAACATGGTGAAAACCCATCTCTACTAAAATACAAAAATTAGCTGGGCATGGTGGCACGTGCCTATTGTCCCAGCTACTTGGGAGGCTGAGGCAAGAGAATTGCTTGAACCCAGGAGGTGGAAATTGCAGTGAGCCAAGATCGCGCCACTGCACTCCAACCTGGTGCCTGGTGAAGGAGCGAGACTCTGTCTCAAAATAAATAAATACATAACACATAAATACATAAATCTGAAATCATTTAAAATGTTATTAATTAAACATTCTCCAAGAGTATAATGAATTTCTCTGAAGATAACAGGACATCCACATATCTATGAGAATGAATAACATTTTTTCATAACATCTTCAGTGTTGGTGAGGGAAAGCTCAAATGCTGGGTATTCCAACAAACTAAGCATAAGAGAAGGCTTTTCCTAAGGCAGAAGAATCACAACTTTTAAAATTCTCATGGTCAGATTTTGTTTTATCTTCTTGCCCACACAGGTTATAGTGACTTAGTTCTAGAAGTGAAATTACAAAATGTCATCAGCGTTTTTGGAATGCAGTTAACTTAACTATTTGAATGGTGATGGTGCTATCAAACACAAATCAAAAGTAAGATAAGTGACAGCAGCCTTTCCCTTACCCCCAGAAACTGTATTGAGAGTTGGAGCCAGCAGATAGGAGAAAGACTGGAAATACTGCAGCCAAAAAAGATATGATCTTTCTCAGGGATACTTAAACAGGAAATGTGAGTAAGCAAAAACACCAGCCCTTGATGTCCTTTCAACTAAAACGTGAAAGAATTGCAAGACCTAATTGCATTTTTATGAGCCTAGTAACACAATTCTATTCACGCAGTAAGAATGAACTCATCTATTGCTATAATGCATGCCATTTGACCATACAAAAAAAAAAAATGTGAAGCCTTGAGCAGATGAGCCTTCTAGTGCATCAAGTTACTAATCTACTAGCTTTAAAAGATAAGATAAGCAAGGTAAATGTACCCTCACAAAGTATGCTTTTGTTTTTCTTTTGAGATAGGATCTCACTTTGACACCCATTCGTACAGTGGAACAGTTATATAGAGCCCACTTCAGCCTCAATCTCCCAGATTCAAGCCATACTCCTGCCTCAGCATTCTGAGTAGCTGGGACTACAGGGGCATACCACCACACCTGGCCAATTTTTTTATTTTTAGTAGAAACAACATCTCTCTATCTTGCCCATGCCTGTGTCAAAATCCTGAGTTGAAGTAACCCTCCTGCCTTGGCCTCCCCAAAGAGATAAGAGGCATGAGCCACCATGACCAGCCTGCATTTTCAATATATCCAACCTGCACAAATTCAAGTCATTTGTTACCTTCTACCTCTCTCTGCAAAAAAAAACCTGATGTAACCAACATTTGCTTGATTATTACTTTACAAAAAGCTTGTCAGCTTTTGAAAACAGTTTATCTTGGCACACAGTAAAAGATTGAAGCTTTGCATCACCTTTATTCTTTTACTCAGGTTTTCTTAACCTGCACAAGAATGCAACAAGAAAGTAGGCATGACAGCAGGTATCGCTACGTACAGAAAGTTCTCATCCTGCCCAGCTCCTGGCATCAGCCCAGACAAGTCTCGAATCCCCAAGTTACTCTCCCACTCAGCCCGCAAATTTTCTCCTGACCTTGTCATTTCCTAGCCCTCCAAGAGGATTGGCTGCTATTAACAGAAAAGACCACAGTCCTGTACAAAACATCAAGAAAACCTGAGAACATCTGATTCCATAAAGGTTTGTAGCCACACCTGGCCAAAGTGCTTGTCTATAACCACTCCTCCATTTGCTTTGTCTAGGAGTAATTATTTCCCCAATTAAATGCACAAACAAAACAGGCCATGCCAGGCGTCCCCAAACTATGGCCCGTGGGCCGCATGCGGCCTCCTGAGGCCATTTATCCGACCCCCCGCCGCACTTCAGGAAGGGGCACCTCTTTCATTAGTGGTCAGTGAGAGGAGCACAGTATGTGGCGGCCCTCCAGCGGTCTGAGGGACAGTGAACTGGCCCCCTGGGTAAAAAGTTTGGGGACGCCTGGGCCATGCTATCGGAGCAAACCCAAATTCACTCCCCACACCACAGAGGTGAAGAATTGGAGTCAATTCTCTAGAACTCAGGAAAACAGTAATAAAACAGCTAACATCTGTGAAATAACAGAGACACCTGGAAGGGAGTAGCTTCTATAGAAATGCGCACTGCCCTCCCTGCTCTACCACCTACTTCACCACCCCATGATAAATTCAATGCTGGATGAAAAGAATGAAACTTATAGTTACTAGGTGCTTTAAGGAATTAAATGCGTTGATTTGGATCCTAAGTTCTCCTCACTTTGGACTTCAACTGCATAACTTAAGCTAAACTCTAGTTGTCTTATATTTAAATATTTTCTGCCAGTTTGTATATTAGAGGGAAAGCATTAAATAAAATTGTTAGAGATTATAAACTACTAAAAATGGACCACCCATTTTAAACAAGTCTATTTGAAAAACAAAGTACTTTCACATTATACTGTCATTTCAGCCTCCTTTCCTCTAGAACATAAGGGAACATTTCACAGATTAGAAATGAATGCTCAGAGATTACAACTATACGGCCATGATCAAAAAGCATATACAGCCAGGCCTCTTCCACCAAATCACGAGTCTCAACCAGGAAAAACTAAATAACACATTGACTTAGCTTCTCAAACAAAAGTTGATTACATGTGGCAATTTTTGTTTAGACAGAGTCTTGCTCTCTGGCCAGGCTGGAGTGCAGGGGCACAATCCTGGCTCGCTACAACCTCCGACTCCCTGTTCAAGTGATTCTCCTGCCTCAGTCTCCCAAGTAGCTGGGATTACAGGCATGCACCACCACACCCAGCTATTTTTTTTTTTTTTTTTGTATTTTTTGTAGAGACAGGGTTTCACCATGTTGGCCAGGATGGTCTAGATCTCCTGATCTTGGGATCTGCTGGTCTTGGCCTCCTAAAGTGGTAGGATTACAGGTGTGAACCACCACACCCAGCCACATGCGGTACATTTTTAAAAAAGCTTGGCAGTTACTTTGAGAGTTGTTAAACCTATGCTTAGTATGTGACCAAATCATTTCAATCCTAGTTTAGCCAAAACAAATGAAAGCATGTGTCTGTATATCTGTGCAAAGACTTGTACAAAAATGTTCATAGCCACTTTCTTAGAAATAGGCAAAACATGTGAGGTTCACTGTAGGTAAATTAAAAAGCTATCTTTTTAAAAGTTCATGTACATACTTGATATTTGACAGTATTTCTTTCTGAACTGGTTTTCGACCAGGTAGAAAGCCATTCTTCACTTTCACTCGATAGCAGATGTTATGAAAACTTAACACCGCTCCTTCAGTAAATGCCTTCAGATCATTGGAAGTTGTCGAGGGGAAGCCATTGGTGTTTCCTTGTGACATTGGGATAAAAACTTCGACATTACTAGCAGACATCTGGAGAGTTTTTGTCTTTTTGTCTTTCTGTAGACAGAAAAGCAATCGTAAGTCGACAGTCCAGATAAATGAGATTGTAAACACTAGATAACAATACACTTAAAACACTCCGTTTTCAAATGTGCGGCAATAAGTAGCTTGATTTCCAATGAACAGCCTATACCATTGTGATAAGAACATCCTAAAAACCTAAATGGGAAGACAGGCACAACTTTAAATGCATAAACTCCAATTAAATGTCGAATACATCCCTAATAAGTAAATAGGCCCCCTAATAAGTAAATAGGAAGGGTATGAAAATTACTAAAAACTGATAAAGCTGGAAAAGGATGGGTGAGGGTTAGACTTGTCTGGGTTGAAAAGTATATTACAATGTTACTCAAGTGCAGGGACAGGCTACATGATCATCATCAGAACCTCTGTTTGTTTTTTGTTTTTTGTTTTTTTTTTTTTTTTTTTTTTGACAGTCTTGCTCTGTTAGCCAGGCTGGAGTGCAATGGCATGATCTCAGCTCACTGCAACCTCCACCTCCTGGGCTCAAGCAATTCTCCTGCCTCAGCCTTCCGAATAGCTGGAATTACAGGTGTTTGCCACCATACTGAGCTAATTTTTTGTATTTTTAGTAGAGACAGGGTTTCATCATGTTGGCCAGGCTGGTCTTGAACTCCCAGCCTCAGGTAATCCGCCTGTCTCAGCCTTGCAAAGTACAAGGATTATAGGCATAAGCCACTGTGCCCGGCCTATATTTTATTTTCAAGACCAGCCTGGCTAACATGGTGAAACCTCGTCTCTATTAAAAATACAAAAATTAGCCAAGTGTGGTGGCATACACCTGTAATCCCAGCTACTGGGGAGGCTGAGGCAGGAAAATGACTTGAACCCAGGAGGCAGAGGTTGCGGTGAACAGAGATCGCCACTGCACTCCAGCCTGAGTGATAGAGCGAGACTCCATCTCAAGAAAAAAAAGAAGAAAAAAGAACCTCTGTATTTTTTTTTTTAACTGGGGAGTTTTAGCATCATTACTATCAAAAGGGGCTTAGCCAAGCAGTCCAAGACAGGAGAAATTTCTCTGAATTTATAGCTCCAGACTTTACACTGCTGGTTGTTATGTACCTTCAATCAGCAAAGAAGGTAAATTCCAAAACTGACTGCAATTGCATAATCATTTCCTTAATGAACAAACATATTTAAATTCTAGGAAGATTTAAACTTAGGTATGAAAATCATTAAGTAAATCAAATCAAAAGTTAAGCCAAAAATTTAAAACAGAAAAAGAATGTTAAATATATAAATAAAATGTGAAATATTTCATTCAATAAATTACAAAAGGCCTCAAAAAGATTTATTAGAGTAAGACCTTAAGATGAGTTTAAGGTCAGCTTGTGAAACAGGTTGGAAATGTTAACTTCAATAAATGTAGTTTTAATTTTTGAAAGTCAAAGCAATCCATGACGAACTTTCTCTCTGCCTGTGACAGAGTAGTTGTTCCAAACAGACAGTCCTTCTAAGCACAACAACAAATGTAGACAAAAAATGTAAGAAGAACCCGTTGAAGAGTTCTGTCTGATCAAAGCAACGAAAGTGGCCAGGTCGTGAGGAACCAAAATCCTGGAACAGAGGGACTGAAGCACTGAAATAAACTCTGTATTCTGCATGCCCTTTCCTCTTAAGATGGGTAGTTGCACATGAAAATTGCACACACCTGGGGCACAGCTCAGAACAGCTAAGCAAAAGGAAGCTGCCAGAAGGAATGAGTCTGCTTATTGAAGCCTCTACTATTTCTGAGCAAATATTTCAGCAGTCTCTCAGCACTAAGGAGACAAAATTTTGCTGGAGTTGAGGGCCTAGCAAAAAGGAGCCCTGGAAAGAGATCCCAGAAGCATTATCCTCTGGGAATGTGAGCAAACCAAAAAACCAGCCTCTGCTCAATCAAGGCAATCTGCCCAGACTGCTAGAAGAAAGTTAAAGCCACTCTGTAAGAAGGTATCATGTAAATTTTCAATCAAAAATTTCCAGGCATTGGGAATCTCTCTGAATCTGCTGTGATTCTGAGGGCTGCCTGATTCACGAATTGTAAGTTTAAAAATAATGAAAAAAATTTTAAAAATTGCAAGGCATGCCAAAAAAAAGAACCTGATGTTCCAGAAGTGAGAAAATGGGAACCGACCCACAGGTTACCTGGATTGGAGTGAACAGACATTGACATTAAAACAAAAGATTGATGTGTTTAAGAAAATTAAAAGGACTGTCACCAAGGAACCAAGATCTATAAAAACAAATGAAAATTAAGAATTCAATAGATGAGTTTAACAGCAGCTTTCCTAATTATGACACAAAGTAGGAGAGAGAACTTAGTGAACTGGAAGACTGGTATACAGAAAACATCCAGGATGAAGATTAGGAATGATGAAAATCATTATCATGAAAGAGGGAAAAATCTCCTTATTAAAAAAAAATGAGAACTACATAAAAGAGTATAACAAACAAATGGGATAAGATGAAAAAGGTCTGTCATACATATACCTGGAGACCTGAAAGAGGAGGGAAAATGGAGCAAAACATGTACTTAGACAGAATCAGTATTTGAAGAAATACTGGCCAGTATTTTCCAAAACTGACAAAGATATTAAGCCACAGATTGAAGAAAATCCTAGGAACACCACAGAGGATAAATACAAGGAAACCAAATCTAGGCATTTCATAATAAAACTGCCAAAAACCAAAAGTCATCTCCTAAAAACTGTTTCTGTAATCCAGAAACATACCATATTTACAAGTCTATTCATTTGGAGCCTGGAAAAGTAGAAAACTTTTAAAGACTGACATCCAGCAAATTCAAGGTACATGCATGGGTTTTAATCTGTGAACACAATGAATGGCCATCATTAGCCAAAATTCTGTTCTCTGGAAGCAGTGAAAGAGAAGGTACAAATACAGTCAGCAGCCCTATTCTTAAGTTCTGTATCTGAGGATTCAACCAATCGAAAATGGAAAATATTTAAAAATAGGGCATGGTGGTTCATACCTGTAATCCCAGCACTTTGGGAGGTAGAGACAGGAAGATCACTTGAACACAGGAGTTCGAGACCAGCCTGCACAACATGGTGAAATCCTATCTCTATCAAAAATACAAAAAATTAGCTGGGTACGGTGGTGCCCGCCCATGGTCTCAGCTACTTGGAAGGCTGAGGCAGGAGGATCGCTTGAGCCCAGGAGGTGGAGATCGCAGTGAGTCAAGATTGTGCCACTGCACTCCAGCCTGGGTGACAAACCAAGACCCCATCTCAAAAAAAAAAATTTTTTTTTAATAAATATAAATGGATGGTTGTGTTGGTACAAAACATGTACAAAATTTTTTCTCATCATTATTTCCTAAATAATACAGTATCACAACTATTTATATAACATTTACATTGTATTAGGTATTATAAGTAATATAGAGATGATTTAAATTATATGGGACGATGCATGTACATTATATGCAAATACTATGCCATTTTATATCAGGAACTTGAGCATATGTGGATTTGGGTGTCCGAGGGGAGTCTTGGAACTAATTCCCCATGGATCTCTAGATATAACTGTAATGTATGTAATGTATGGACTTCACATCTTTAAAAAAAGTTTTAAACCATCTCTTCATGTCTTCAGAAACTAAAATACACCAATTCCAACACTAGCAATCACTTCTTCTACTGCCATCCCCATTTGATGTTCATTCAGCCACTGAGGACCCTTTCTAACCTCTCAAGACTTCTTAAGAGTATCAAATAATTTATTGCTTGAATTTAAATAGGTCATTGACTCAAGATGGAAATTTTAAAGAGATTTTGTGAGGCTTCCACAAACAAAAGGCAACAACGAGAGCTAAAGTACCCAAAAAAAGAGTGATCACCCATGCCCATACAAGACAGAAGGTAACACTTATAAATACAATCACAATCTTGGAAGTGTGTGCAGAGAAAGAGTTTGCCTTTTTTGTGATAAGATTAAATGTATGATTCACATTACCCAAGAGTGGCTTCATTCCTGGCTGGGACTCTAACAATCTTCCTTGGGGCAATGCAGGGCCTTAGTCATTCATGAGTCACAAACCAAGTGATTAGACAGGTATAACCAAGGCACCATCCAGCTGAAGCACGTTACATCAGAAAGAAAGGAGAAAACTAAACCAAACTTCAATTCTTTTTATTTTGGAGATGCCGAGTCTTGTCTTGCCCTGTCGCCCAGGATGGCATGATCTCAGCTCACTGCAACCTCCACCTCCTGGGTTCAAGCAGTTCTCCTGCCTCAGCCTCTTAAGTAGCTAGGACTTGCACACCACCACACTCAGCTAATTTTTTGTATTTTAGTACAGATGGGGTTTCACCATGTTGCCCAGGCTAGTCTCAAACTTCTGAGCTCAGGCAATCCACCCACCTCGGCCTAGCAAAGTGCTAGGATTACAGGCATGAGCCACCATGCCCAGCACCCAAACTTTAATTCTAACACCAATATGGATCAATACACTTACTCTAAGAAAAAAATATAGTAAGGACTAAATAAAGAAAATACAACAACTCAGCACCAGACTCATCTCAAAGTGCCCCATCTCTAATTAATATAGTATTCTGGGTCTAGGGAACTCTCTAAATGTAACAACTACCTTTAAGCCAACACCAGTCTTTTCCCTATGGTCAGAAACTTTCTGGTCATGTGTGCTGCTCTCATTAAATTAGCATCATCTTTTTATATCAAGGAAAATACCCAATCACACAACTAGATGTCCCTGCAACAAAAATCAACCTCCCACCTGTTGCTGTTTCCTTATTTGCAGAATACTTGCCAATGCTAATCTGGTTTTTTTTCTCTTTCTGTGTCCTAGACAGCCTGCAAAGACCTTCAGTAAAAGGAAGCCTCCAAATGGCTTTACACCTTGCCTTATCCCAGCCTTTTCATGTTATCTGACCTGTTTATGTATCTTAGCCAACTCCAAAAGCCCTTTCAAACAAGACAGAACAGCTTTGCATACGGAGATTCCCCAGCCC